CAAGGATCAATAATCCTAGAAGAAAAGGACTCATAAAGTCATTTGTTCTTCTGTAATTCGTATTCTGCAAGTTATAGTTTGGTAAGATCACCTGGTTCCTGTACTTAGCTGCTTCATCTGGTGTCTCTACTTCAATTCTTTAGTTTACTACTTTTCCCCCAGTTCATAGGAAGTTTTATTCGTGATGAATCAGATGTTCATCTTTCCTCAGAAATGTAAAATCAATAGTCTGCTTAGACATGAAAATTTCTATTATTAGTACTAACCAGAATATGCTATAAAGCAGAGGGATAGTACTCAAAGCCTTATTACAAAGCAACTATAAACTACTATAAAGAAACTATAACGCTTACTTCAACACTGTGAATTACTACTACATGCCAAGACCAAATTCGTTCTTCTTGCATTAACACCAGTGCATTTGGATGCCGGTTAGAACTGTTTGTAGATCTTCCATTTGCTCAGGTGAAACTTCCTCTTCTCTTGCTGAACAAAGCCATCGCCATCAGCTTCAAACTCAGCAAATCTTCCGCGGGCTTCATTCTTTTCATAATCCCGCTCCGACACCGCTCCAACCTTCTGCTGAGGAAGATCATTCTGGTACTGGCTGAGCAGAGCCCCGTTTCGGACTTCGTAGAAGACTGGCACCGACACTGCTTCGACCTTCTGCTGAGGAAGATCCTTCTGGTACTGGCCAAGCTGAGCCCCATTCCTGACTTCGTTAAAGACTGGCTCATTCTTAAAGGCTCTGCACACGTTTGGGTACTGAGGGACATCGGGATTGATGCTGAGCGTCTTTGCCATTCTCGAGATGTGTTCCAGGCAAACATATGCCTGGGAGTAATGTCGAAGCTTCGATGCATGTTTCGCAATTGAGGTGGTACAGAGAAGGAAGTTCCATTTATATATGAAGGGCGAGATACTGCTGCTATATTCTTGAAGTGACACAAATGGCATCTGATTCTGATATCATAAAATAGAACAGCAAACCAAAAACGTGCGTGGGATGGTACCCAGAAATAGGGGGACATTGAAGGCTTCTTGGAGATTATGTTCCTCCTCATTACGTTTTAAAGTTGATGATTAATGCGTTAGGTTATCTTTGTTGTCTCTAGAAGAAGCATCACTCGGCTTTAATACATTTTTTGCAGTCTCATGCGAAAACTAGGACTGAGCTAAAGGAGCCTTCGAGATGAATCGGGTGGCTTTACTTATACATTGTGTTGGTACATATAGTTGCAACTAGTTCAAACTTCGCAAAAAATCCCATCCTTTGTTATTTCCTCTATGTTGTAGAAGGGAGTCAAAATTGTATGTGATAGATTATATCGATTGTAGCAGGCGTTAAAGATTCAATGACATGGATAATCGAAAGAGACTATGACCAAATAGTAAGTACTTCCCTGCTCAAAACCCACAAAGGAATCAATTTAATCCACTAATCAGAAGTGGAGGTCTGAATATTGCGAATTGGATATTACGGACGTCCGAAATCGAGCAATATATAATGCAGAAATTACATTCGCGTGGAAGTCGCGATCAATAACAGAATTATTTCCTCAAATTAAAGTCGGCCATGGAGAATAAGAAGGGAAGCTTCCAACTTTGACCGAATTTGGATCTTTACGGGGATTTCCTTTCATCACTTTGAAGTCGGCAAAGACAAAGGTGGTCTTCACATTGTCATATAAATATTATTTTATAGGGTTTTGTTGGTGTGTGCCGTGCGAGTGCTCAAGAAGCGTTGTTGTTGACGTGAAGAGTACATGAAGTACCGTTGTATCGCTCGATCGTTACTGCTTTCTCCATGGACGTAGATCACTATAATCGAATCACGTAAATCTGGTATCTGATTTATTTTCTTATTCTATCTATTTTATTGTTCGATTGCTTGCTTTCACAACATATAGTTCCTCCGAGCCCATCAAAGCTATCATGTGCACCATCTCCATGGTCTCCTCTTCCAAACCCTATTCGTTTGTTGGCAATTTCATTGTCCTAGACGTACAAGAAAGTGAAGTGTGTCACAGAGGACCACGTGGCCAAAGCCTAGGCAGCCGGGGCCGTCGCGGCCTCTTGGGTCCTTGGGAGGAAGCCGTACATGAGATGGCAACTAGAGGCGGGCCATCTAAGGCTTCCATCCAAGAATTTGTAGGTGGGACACGACGTGGAAAGATTCGACCCTGTGGACGTCCGGCCTTCTTTTCCGGACCCATGCGGGTAGTTCCATTAATGATGTCGGCCACACCACATTGTGGCCTCACCATTTTGGACACCATCTGAGGATCTAAGCATCCGGTGATATCTAGATGATAATTGAGTTGGTACGTCTTAATAGCAAATTCTAACAAATAGTGGAAGTCATCATTGTCGGCATGGGTCGTCAAGTGACCAGATTGGTTGTTGTTCAAGTAGCCGAATTTCTCGAGGTACCTCTTGAGCTCGTGAATGCCTATGGTATGATCACCCTTGTGACATCCCTAAAGGTGCTTGAGGAACTCAAAGGGTGATTTCATTTGGTCATCCGGATGTGCTAAAGCGGCGCCAAAGAGGGAAGTAAGGTGGAGCAAGTATGAGAAGGTGGAAAAGAACTTAGCATCCATCGCTAAACTAATGAACGCGCACTCTTCGAGCAGAGAATAAATAATGAATGAATGTTATTTGCGTTGTTGCACGTACACTAGGAGGTCTATTTATCGACACATGCCTCTTTTAAGGTCATGATTAGTAGCTAGGTCATAAGGTCTTGTTGAAGCGGAAACTTTCATGCATGGGAAGAAACCGATAGTACGATCCTACGTGACAACGGCCCTAACTAGGTCATTGAGAAGAACGCGTATAGGACTGGGAATTCCTGGAAAGAAACCCTAAGTACGGCACTAAAGACAACGACCATAACTAGGTCATTGAGAAGAAGACGTATAAGACTGGGACATGAAGAAGTAACATAATGTGGACTGGTTCAACAACTATATATATGTGTGTGTGTGTGTGTGTGTGTGATCGAGTTCTAGAAAGGGCGATAATTGTTGTTTCTATGTTTTTCAAAGAAAAAGCCTCGCACACATTGACCAAATCTTTGATCCCCACTCACCGTTCAAGCAATATTGCGAGCCAAACAAAATGCTAAAGCAATGTGTGAAGGTGAAATGAGTAGTTGTGTTAGTATATAATGTAAAAGTATCGACATAGAAAAGTCGCAAATGTTGTATAGGTACATTCTATTTTCATTAGATATGTAGTGTAGAGACAATGATAGTTCACATCAAGCTACCCTCCAAGGGGTTGGTGGAGTGGTAAGGGTTTTGGGCTTGTGGGTGATTGATCCCAAGTTCGAGTCCCTCTGCCCTCCACCTTATCATACCCTTGACTTACATGGAGGCTAGTCTGTGGATTTGGCTAGTTCTCTTTTGGTTGATGTCTGGCTAGTCGGACTATTTTAGTGCGGCCGGTGCGGGAGTCCGAATCATTAAAAAAAAAAAATAGTTCACATCAAGCTGGAAATAAACATGTTCAGGGGGACCCACTATGAATTCTATATCTTCTTATGCGATTAGTAAAATGAATCGAAATAATACTCACCCGTGAAAAAATCCCATTCACCGTAACACACAAGGGCAGTGATAAGTTGATCAGGCAATAGTGGTAGAGGTTGTACAAGGGTGAAGACTTCGATAAAATGGAGGAAATCTATTAAGAGAGGGGGATTTGCATTCATACTTTATACTTTCGTATTTATTATTGATTCATATTATCTTACGTGCGCGAAGTATTGTTGTACTCATATTAGTATTCAACAAACACCGCTTCCACCACACGAGGGCTCGAGAGCTATGATTACAGCTTCGGGATAAAACAGTTTGAGATGATAACCGTTAGGCTTCCTTATTCCGTAGACAACGGTTCCGTTGAAGATTGGGCGTCGGACTATTTCAGAGGAGAGCAACCTCTCAGGGAAATGGTGGATTCAAGTCTTGATTCTTTTCAAGAGGAACAGGTGGATAGAAATGGACAAGTAACAAAATCATGAGTCTAACCTGACCCGAGAGTTAGACCAGCAACGAGAGAAGCGGCAGCGATGTTGCGGGACATAGCCGGAATCACCCCGAGGGGGCAATCCCAATAATTTCTCCTCTTTGTTTGGGCGGAACTCGAGGTTCTATCTACCGATGCAAACAAAAAACTATAAGTACGAGCTCAAGCTTTTCTTCTTTCCTTTGTATCTGAAGAAGGGTGGCGATGGAACACATGCCTTGTATGCATGAGGTAGAAGAATTGGGTTCATTGTTTTATTTTTTCGGCGTTCGTGCTCTGTCGTATGGATCTATTGAAGCACACATTAGAAGCCCAATGATCTTAAGAATTCTGAGTAAAGTTTGCCTTTTTTGAGCACCTGCATTGCTCTCTTTCAAGCCTTCTAGTTTAGCTATGGCTGCTGATCTTGCGAGGTCTACACTTGATTCTTTCCTTTTACTTGTACCTGGTTATGTTGTTTCAACTGGGGTTGGACTCGAAGAAAATGAAGGAACAACCAGGTCCACCACATCAAAGCTGTAAACCTTGGAAAGCGAATCAAAGCAGAATCCGATGAACTTCATAGCGTGACTCAGTGGGTTTGAGAAATATACGCGATGAATCAACAGTCACCATACTTGGTTTCGTTTCTTCCTTTTTCCACGAAAACATAACCAATTCGCAATAAAATTTGTTAGTAGTTCATTTTGAATCTGAAGGAGTAAACTCTGTTATACATGGATTTGCCAGTGTTTGCGGAAAATCTAAAATGTCGGATTTATGTTTCAAGCGAATAGTTATAAATTCGATTCGCCATTTCTCGATCCGTCCTTACACAAAGCCAACAGCATTGGAAAAGACAATTTATACTCCATACTTGCACAAAGTGACCGTATACAAAAATAATCGTCCCATACAAGATCTCAAATTTCAATCGTCACACCAGCTTTTTTAAATCTCTTTCATAGAATACGAATTTGGAGTTCACCGAATCACATTAAGATAATCACCATGTGCTTCACACTGCTCCAAAACCCACTGTTTTTAATCCACTAATCAAAAGTTGTATAAAGCCCTAATTCCTTGAATGTCATCCTCGTGAAGGCCTTTGGTTGTGCCAGGAGCTATGGAAGAAAACATGATGGCCCCCTCAACATCACTGTGCCCTAGCCCAAGAAGGTGTCCAATCTCATGCAGAGCCACCGTCTCCAAATCGATATCTTGCGAACCCGCCGCCGGACCCACGGCCCACCTCTCGTCCGCATCGTAGTGGAATAGTCCAATGGTGGGTCGAAATGCGTGAGCTATGGTTCCTCCAGGCCCATCAAAGCTATTGATCGTACCATCTCCATGGTCTCCTCTTTCAAACCCTATTTCTATATCAGCAATTTCATAATCCTTAATATAAGAGAAGGTGAACCGTGATATGGATGCCCATGAGGTGAAAGCCCGCGAAACCGCACCCTTGGCAGCCGTCGGTGTCCCGGGAGCAAAGCCATAGGTGAGGTGGTATTTCGAGGCCGGCCATCTAGGGTTTCCATTCATGAACGTGTAGCGGGACACCGGATGGAAAGAGCCGAGCCCACGGAGGTTCCGACCTTTCTTGCCGGACCCCATGCGGGCAGTGCCGTTGATGATATCAGCCACGCCACACCGTGGCATCATCATCTTTGACACCGTCTGTGGATCCAGATTCCCGCTGACGTTCAGATGATAATTCAATTGGTACGTCTTGACGGCAGACTCTAAAGCATCGTTGAAGTCGTCGTCGTCAGCATGAATTGGATCACTAGATTGGTTGTAATTCAAGTAGCCGAACTTCTCAAGATAATGCTTGAGCTCGCGAACGCCTTTGGCGCGGTCACCCTTGTGACACCCCTGAAGATGATTGAGGAACTCGAAGGCTGATTTGGTTTGGTTATGCGATTGTGCTAAAACGGCATGAAAGAAGAGGAGAGTAAGGAGGAGCGAGTATGAGAAGGTGGACGAGAGGTTAGTAATTGCCATGGCAAGTGATGATTATGTTGGATCGATGTTATGGTGTAGTTGTCCATATCCCTGTTGCGTCTATTTATAAGTGCAATCTGAGAGGTGATGTTGATGAACACGATCAAGAGCTAGGTCAATGAAGAGACCTGTTAAACTGGAAACGTTCATGGCGAAACAGTGTGAGTACGGTGGGTACGAGACGACGACCATGACCAGGACACATCTAGATGTATAAGAAAGTGAAGTTAATAAGTAAAACGATAGGTTGTTGTCCAACTGCTATTATAGTTTTTTATAAAAACGTGTTGACTAGCTCCGTGCTATTATATTGACCATGTGCATTTCATAGAAAGATTTCAAGGAAAAGTTTGCTCAATGAAATTAATTAATGACCTCCATCTAGATTTCAAACTTGACTTTAATCTGGTATATACGCGGGAACTTTTTTTATATAGTAAATGCGTATATTTTGTCACTCAAAAGGCAGTAATGAAATAATTGTACACATGAGAGAGAGATAATGATGTTGGGTAGCAGAAACTTACCTATAGGAGCCATCACTAATCAATTATGGATCGATTAGACACCCAAGAAAGACATGGGAGTTTGTCTTACTTCGAACTAGAGATCCTGAATACGGGACTTGGTTACATTTTATTAATCTAACGTTATTCTGGTACATTTCTCTTTATCTTGAAAATGTTTTTGCATGCAGTCTTTGTCGATTTTATCCTATGCCACTAACATATGGAGCTACCAGTGATCGATTATGGGTCTATTAGACACCCAAGCAAAACATGGGAGTTTGTCTTATTTTTGCGAATCAAAGATTCTGAATACACGAACTTAGTTACGCTAGATTATCTAAATATCATTTCAATACATTTTTCTCTTCATATTGAAAATGTTTTTGCTTGTAGTCTTTGTTGGTTTATCCTATGCCACTAACATGTAAAGGGTGATCATGCGGGTACGTAGACAATAAAGCAACACTCAATAATCAAAAGTACTAAATATATTACGAAAAAGTGATGAACTATGCATGAGCAACCGCAAACAATGCCTCGCTACATCAATTGGAACGAAGCCTCTGCAGACTATGGCTCAAATATAAACAAATGATTATATGCCACATGGAAGACTATCTGAAATGTTCAAATGTGATGCATGATTACGCATGAATTTGCAATTATGGTGCAAAACCGATTAATATGCAACTTATACTAATCTTTTTGGTATTTTCTCATTTAATTAACATAATAAATATGCAAATGAGCCCTAGATCACTAAATGATTGAAACCTACAGGCATTCGAAAATTAAATTATTAAACAACATGTATGAATTAAATTACTACAGGACATGGATAAGTAATATTACATTCTATGCAATGTGGTTAAACATGCATTAACTCTAAATGCAATCTATATGAAATGTCAATCAAAATTAATTCCTCAAGACATACAATTCACTAAGTAACATGCAATATGCAACGCGAGCACAGTAAAACTAAACATGAATTAATTTTGATTAAATGCAATCTACACGAGATATTAATTAAGTATTTTTTGGATTTTTCTTTATGAATTAGAAATAAGAAACTACCTTAAGCCTACGTGATAACATAAATTGACTAGGAAATAATGATGTATCAATTACTAATCATGAATGAACTAAACTATCATGATTTCTAATGTATCAAATACATGAAATCCTAGATTAGGAAACATATATAGATTAGAATAACCTGAGATATGCAACATGCATGAATATATGATAAAAGCGCAAAATATGATGAAAGCGTCTGATGGAAGCGCAGTATCAGTGAATAACTTCAAGAATTATTATTATACATCAATGCTCATGGATATTATGCAATATCATTCCAGAATCATCAATATATATTAAAGATGTGTAATATTTGCTAAATTTTTGCATTATGATGCAGAGATAACGACGTTACCACGAATCATCGCAAGCCCAATTTAGTCCTCAAGTGGCGGGCCATATATAGGGAAATCTTAAAGATTTTATTCTGATATCCTTCTCATTAAAGATTTTTTGGGCTCTAAACAAGTTGGAATACCTCATTCTAGACCCAGTTCTTCTTTTTTATCATGAATTCCCCACCATGCCACTTATCGAATTCACTTCTGACTCCTCACAATATGTGTTAGTCAAAAAATGCAACGAAACATGATATGGATTCTAATGCAAATGTGAAGCATGCAAATGATATTTTTGTCTAGGGATTGGGGTCGATCCCTAATTTTCTTATGCAGTCAGCCAAAATTTAGATGTTAACATCTCTAACTAGGTACTTAAAATTCCTAAATATATTCAAGTTAATGTACGCACATATACCTTCATTTATTGAACGAAAACATGTTTTATGTATTTGGTTTGGATTTTATGGAAGCCAAATGTAATTTGGAGGTCTATTGATCTTTAACCAATAGAGTAAGGCAATGCTGAGATTACTAATTAATCATCAGTCTGCTAACCACCCCTTAGCATGTAATATGCATGAAAACTTCTCAAAGTAAAATGACAAAAGGCTCACCACAACTTTAAAAAACAAAATTCACTGTTATGATGAATTCCTTATGTTTCCTAAATTGCAAATAAAAATGGAAAAAACTCTCTTGAGTTTGAAATGACAGAAACGATGTTTTATTCATTGTAAGTATCTCCCTATTATTTTCTATTTGCTCCATATGGAATACGATGAAACAAGATGAAATTTAAGATAAAATCACATTTTCTTCTAATAATTTAAGTAACATATTACCCTACATCGCGGGGAAAATTACCAAAAAAATTCTAAATTATTGCATTTTTGTCAATTCAAGCATAAACATTTTAATTGTGCTAATTGAGTTCTAAACATTTTCACATTTTGCTAATTGAATCTATCCAGTCAATTTTGGCCGGGAATCATTGACGTGGACATAGACCGTCCTACGTGGCACGGTCAACACTAAAGTAGATAATTTTTTTAAAAAATTTTCGAATCACAGTAAAAAAAAAAAAGAAGGAAAAGAGAAGAAAAGGAAAAAGAAAAGAAACAATAAAAAATTAATAAAACATTCGAAAAATTATTAAAATATTTCACATCAGTGGCGGCCGTGCCACATGGAACGGCCGGCTTCCATGTTAAAATTCCCGGCCAAAATTGGCCAGATGGAATCAATCGGCAAAACGTGAAAATATTTATGACTCAATTAGCATATTAAAATGTTTAGGACCGCAATGACAAAAGTGCAATAGGTATAAGACTTTTTGGTAAATTTCCCCTACATCGTGCTTGTGTATAGTTGTATCAATAGAGTATAGACACCAAATTAATCAATTTCAGATAACCGTTAAAAGCTTTATGGTGGTTCCTTAGGTAATCAATGTTCCGAAGAGAACTTTTCTATTAGTCTATTATGAATGACCCGAAAGCAGAAAATGTGTCGATTTAAATTTGCCATGAAGAAGCGAGTGTCACGTTGATAGCAAAAAGCATCATTTGAAATTAATCGTTCATTTCAGTCTTCTATAAGACGAAATTGTGATAAATTCTCGAGTTTACAACCTCATAATGGCCAAAACAACACCCGTGACTTAGCGAAGCCAATTATTTTGGTAACATTCAGCCTAACATCCTTAACTTAATCTACTCAAGTGAAAGACTGCATAAACACTCTAACCTAATCAAACGCCGTACAAGGTTTTGATTCCCTGAACATCATCCCCATCCAATCCTTTGCTGATTCCGGGACTTATGGAGGGATACATTATAGCCCTCTCGACTGAGCTGTGCCCTAACCCAAGAAGGTGGCCAATCTCATGCAAAGCCACGGTCTCCATGTCGAACGAACCGCTGGCTGGACCCACGGACCACTGCTCATCCGCGTCGTAGTGGAACATACCGATGGTCGGCTGAAACGCGTGCGCTATGACTCCGGAGGGACCATCGAACGGGGCGTTGTCGCCATGGTCCCTGCTCGCGAACGCGATCTTGATGTCCGCAGCCGCATAGTTTTGGACCTGAGAGAACGTGAAGTGCGTTGCCGAGGCCCACGTATTGAAAGCCCGTGAGACGGGGCCAACAACATCGGCCCGGGTCCCTGGGCTGAGGGCATAGGTGAGGTGGTACTTTGAGGGCGGCCACTTGGGATTCCCATCGAAGAAGCTGAAGTGGGCGACAGTGCGGAAGTTACTCGATCTGTGGTGGCTCCGTCTCTTGCCGGACCGCATCCGAGAGGTACCATTGACGATGTCTGCCATGCCACACCGAGGCATCATCATCGTCGACACCGTCTGGGAATCTAAGGTTCCCGTGACCTTCAGGTGGTGGTTGAGTTGGTACATCTTGACGGCGGACTCTAAAAGCTCATCAAAGTCGTCGTCGCCAGCGTGGACCGGGAGGCTGGATTGGTTGTAGTCCAAGTACCCGAATTTTTCGAGGTATTGCTTGAGCTCCTGGAGACCCTTGACCTTTTCACCTTTGTGACATCCTTGTAAATGCTTGATGAACTCAAAAGGGTTTTGCTTTTGGTCATCGGAGTGGGCTAAGACCGATTGGAAGAAGAGAGAAACAAGAAGCATGCATGAGATTGGGGACAAAAACTTAGGGTGTGCCATTGCGCAGATTCTCGAGAGATTGCACTTGGTTTTGGCTGGTATTGTGTGTGTATTTGCCAATGCTTGCGAGACTCTATTTATAGGCTTTTTTCAGCTGTGGAAACTTAAGAAAATTCTTGGCATCGTGTCACACACGGCCATAACAAGGTCGTAAGAAAAGAGACAGAGAGAGAGAGAGGGGTAGACCAAGCCAACTTTGCAATGACTTCGGTTCACTCGCTACGGTCTACAGTCTTCTGTTTAGAACATTTCATGGAAACGCCCTTAGATATCTGACTTTGACTTTCACTTTTAGACGTCAAGGTGGGATTTGGGTTTGAATAATCCTTTTGGACAAATAATGCAAACGCAGCTCGATGATTTTGAGAAGTAATAAAGGAGACGTGTTCTTGGTATTTCTGTGCTTATCGCGGAAGAAATTTAAGAGCCAACCATATGATAATTAGGAAATGAAGTTACCAATCAGAGTGTCTAATTCACATGACCCGACAAGCATGAGAGGCAATGGTAACAACTGTAATGTACATGACAATGGGCATAACATATCAACACCCATCCACAAAATCGATGTGTCGAATAATAGTGTCGAGTGGCTCATATTTTTCAGAAATAAAAGCACATCTCGTAATAGATAGTATTTCGACGTTTGATACATCAAATCTTGTACACGGAGTTCGTTGTATCTAGAATTCCTCTTTTAGATGACTGGCTCAAACGCCCAATTGAAAAAAACAGAAGAAAAAGACCAGGAAATTGCTGAGTAAAACGTTGGAAAACCATGGTCACTAATCTTCTGGATGGCCCGGAAGCCAATGAGAAGTCTTTGAAGGGGCGGGCAGACCCCTAGAAGAAAAACGACCCTGCCTTAACTGGGGCTTTTGACAAGAGACCTTCACGGTCTTCTCCTATAATTTTTATTTATATGGTTCTTTTATTATAATCAAAGCAATGTTCATAATGTTTCACATAGTTACTTAGAGAAAGTAATGCAAATACCAAATACCATGAACCAATATAAATGTGTCATTTAGATAATAAACTCGCTGCCGTTAATTATTCTTTTAACAGTAGACAGAATAAAATTGCATTGTAAAATCACCAAAAAAAATTAAAAAGAGAGAGAGGGGGGGGGGGGCATTTGCATTTGTAAGAAATGCATGTTTTCAAGTTAGATAATATTGAATGGGACACCGACCAAAAAAAAAATATTGAATGGGACAATTTAGTCTTAGTAGCTATCACATGTATATAAGTAGACATGAACCGTTAAACTGAAGAGAATACCGAAGCACATTATAGTAAATAATGGTGGATTAATTAGGATTTTCCAATCAATGTAAAGAATGATGGCTAGGAATTGGTGCACCACTCTGCCCACTCTATTATGAAATCAATGAATAAACTTGAATGGGCCAAATTTATTTTCAGCAACAGGTATACATAAGAGTAGACATAGACCATGGAACTAAAGAAATTAATGTCAAAGTACGTCAACGCTGATGTCAGTGGCATAATCAAGATTTTTTTGCTAATTGATGTAAAGAGCAACGGGCACGAAACGAGAGAAATTCATGTTAAGGTACAGTAAAGTCAAATGTTAGGGGGCTAATTAAGGTTGTCCTGTAATTATTGCATATATTAGTGGCTCTGGAGCTAATTTGTGCACCATTCAACCACTCTAGAACAAAAATCAAAGGAGAATCTTAAATTGGGGCCAATTTAATTTCAGAAATTATTATGGATAAAAGTAGCTAGTAATTAACGAAGTACAGAAATCAACAATTATAAGTACATTAAAGCTAATGTTAGCAGGGTAACTAAGAAATTTCTAAGTAATGTAGATAATAGCGACTCTGGAGCTATTTGCACCAATCTACCCAAGCTAGTGTAATATCAAAGGACCAATTTGAATGGGGCATCATGGTATTAGTAATTACTATAAGCAAATGTATATCATAAATAACCGCACGAAAATTTGATGCAGTGACAGTAATAAAATGCCAACGATCTTGCTTCAGCAGATCAAGAACAAGAAGAAGGGGAATAATGTCATCTACAATAACCTTTGATAAATGCTGTGACAAATCTGTATCCAGCATTGAAGAATTAGCAATGCACATCACCAGCAAAACAACCAACTCTTGAGAGATGAATAAGAAGAACCAAAACCAAAAACTCTCTTAACGCAAGAAAGCAGACGATAAGCATATGTCACAAACATCGAGCCAAGATTTGGCAGCATCAGTTCTCAGCTGAGCCCGACTATCCAATATCAAAGAAACACCGAAATCAGCATCCTCTTGTGTTAAGCAAAGTGATAACCAAGCAGCATGCATCGCCTCTGTTGTGGCTGTAGCCAGAGATTAGGGTCAATGGAAAGTCAAGTTCACTCTTCGAAACATGACTAATCGTTGGAAAATCTCCTATAATCTCTCCCTAATTATTTGGAATATTATGTGATTTGATTTGTTAGCTGTAAATATTTGATTTGATTTTGTTACCTAATTTAGGTCTTCTATTCTTGTATATATACACCTTGTAATTACTCAATCATAATAAGAAAAATACAGATTCTTTTCTTCATGGTATCAAAGCCTAGTTTTCTGATCTGAATTTCCTCCTCTGCTTCTTTCCCACCACTGCTGCTTCATTGCAGCCCTTTTTTTCAGCCTTATTGCTGCCATTCTGTTTCAGCCTTATTGCTGGCCTTCAAGTTGTGTGATAAACACCACTCATACTCAATCCCTTCTTAGTCTCTTACTATAATCATTTTTCAAGTTGCCGAATGGAAGATTCGGGAAGGCTATCTCCAACCAAACCGGTCCTCTCTTCAGACCGATCCAACTCATCGATTGGAGATTTTCCCAACATGAAGGAATACCGATTGGATGGAAAAATTATCTTCAATGGGCACAGATTGTGAGGACGTTTCTTAAAGGAAAAGGAAGCTAAGTCATCTAGAAGGCACTCGGTCCGGAAAAAAGTGATCCCAAGTTTCGGACATGGGACGAAGAAGATTCCTCAATTATGTCATGGTTGTGGAGCTCAATGCAACCAGAATTCAGCAAAAACTACATGTTTCTCCCTACGCCAAGGACATATGGGAGGTCAGTTCCTCGATCTTATTCAAAAGTTCAAGATGCAAAGGTAATGTATGAACTCAAGACGAAGGCTTCAACAACAAAACAAGGTAATCGTTCATTACGTATACTACAATCTCATGAGAGGTCTCTGGCTTGAAATAGATCACAATCGAATCTAGAGATGAGGTGTGAAGACACTAATACTCTCCGAAACCATATGGAGAGAGATAGGATTTTGAGTTTTGGCGTGTCCGAATGCAAACTTTGGTTCCTAAGCTGTCCACCAATCTCCTTTCCATTAATCAACTTACCAAAAATCTGAATTGTAAGGTGCTTTTCTCTATTGATCATTGTATCTTGCGGGACTGAAAACGGGGAGGACGATTGGATTTGCTAAGGAACGGAATGGGCTCTACTACCTTGAGGATCCGAGCAAAATTGGTTGGTCTCTTGTGGGTTATAGCACCTCTTACAACTCTTGTAACCCAGGAAACAACTCTTGCAATCCTATCCACTCATCTCGATTTGGCTTCACCATTTTCGGTTAGGACATCCACCGTTTAGTCTTCTTAGGACTATGTTTCCTTCCATTTTTAAAGATGTTGCTTTGAAAATCTTCATTGTGAAGTTTGTGAACTTGCAAAACATCATCGTGTTTCATTTCCTTTGAATAATAATGCTAGAGTTTCAACACCATTCTCTCTTATCCATACTGATGTGTGGGGTCCATCTAAAATTGCTAATTTTACAGGAGCTAGATGGTTTGTCTCTTTTATCGATGATTGTACTCGTACTACATGGCTATATCTTATGAAAGACGAATCTAATGTTCAATCTATCTTTCAAAACTTTCATAAAATAATAGTCAATCAATTTGGGGTGTCAATTAGGAGACTTAAGTCCGATAATGGGAAGGAATATTTCAATCGAGTATCTTGATCATTTTTTCCAAACTCGGGGTATTATTCATGAGTCTTCCGTGTTGATACCCCTCAACAAAACGGAGTAACCGAAAGGAAAAATAGGCACCTCCTAAATGTTACTCGGGCTCTCCTCTTTCAAATGTCGTTCCAAAGCATTTTTGGGGGAAGCATTTTAACTTCAAAGCATATCGATTAATCGGGTTCCTTCCAAAACCTTAGGAAATAAAAGTCCCTTACACTCTGTCTACCTTTTTTCCTAATGTTTCCCATAAATATCACCTTCCCTCTCGAGTCTTTGGTCGTGTTGCTTTTGTGCATATTCATAATCACAACCGAAACAAACTCGACCCCGTGCTCTAAAGTGTGTCTTTATTGGGTACTCTAATACTCAAAAAGGTTATAAATGCTATGACCCTTTAACACGTCGAGTTTTTATCTCTATGGATGTCACTTTTAATGAAAACCAGTCATTTTTTCCTTCCCACCACCATCTTCGGGGAGACTCCAAATGAAGATAGTGGGTTTGAACTATCGCCTCCACTACCTAGTGCGTCGCCCAATCTTACTTCGTTCAATCCAACTTCATCTCCTTCCCCATCTCTGTCTAGTCCTAGCCCTCTTAGTCCACCTAGTCCTTCATCAAGTCCATCAAGTTCTCGTCAGGCTTCTAGTCCCCCGTCAAGTCCTCTGCCTAGTTCATCATCATCCTCATCTAGTTCTACTAAGAATGAACCAACCAAATTGCAAGTTTACTCAAGAAGGACGAAGCTCAATCCGAACTGGATCAAGTCCCGTTATCCGAACCGTTATCGGAAATGAAATCACTCACCCTTCTTCTAATGAACCGAGTTAAGTGATTTGGATTTACCTATTGCCTTGAGAAAAGCTACCAGAAATGCACCCAACATCCTATCTCCCATTTTGTGTCGTACCATAAACTATCTGCTCAACACAAAGCCTTTATTACTACTCTTGATTCAATTACTATTCCTAACTCGGTACATGAAGCTTTGAGGATAGGAATTGGATACAAGCTATGACGGAGGAAATGAATGCATTGAAGAAGAATGATACATGGGAAGTTGTGACTTTACCCAAAGGCAAGCAACCGATGGGATGTAAATGGGTTTATACCCTTAAGTACAAAGCCGATGGGACCTTGGAGAGGTATAAAGCAAGGCTGGTCGCAAAAGGGTACACCCAAACCTATGGGGTGGATTATCAAGAGACCTTCGCACCGGTAGCAAAGATGAACACGACGGGTGCTACTTTCTCTTGCAACGAATTTTGGTTGGTCTTTACACAATTTGATGTGAAGAACGCTTTTTACATGGAGATTTGGAGGAGGAAGTCTTTATGGAGCCTCCACCAGGTTTTGACAAGGACTTTGGAAACAATCGGGTGTGTCGGCTTAGAAAGGCTCTATATGGTCTCAAACAGGTCCCAAAAGCTTGGTTTGGAAGGTTCACGAAGGCAATGCTCGAGATGGGTTACAAGCGAGTAGAGGGGATCACACTCTGTTCATCAAACATTCAAATGAAGGTATGGTCACAGCTCTACTTGTGTCGTAGATGATATAGTTGTGACTGGTAATGATGAAGCCTGAACAAAAGTCTCTTAAGAGCAGTCTTGCTCAGCGTTCGAGATCAAAGACCTTGGAAAGTTGAGATACTTCCTTGGTATCGAGGTGGCCTACTCTAAGAAAGGTATTTTTATATCCCAAAGGAAGTATGTACTTGATCTTCTCAAGGAAACAGGATGTCTCAATAGTAAGGCGGTGAGCACTCCTATTGATGCAAACCATAAAATGGATGGACAGGGAGAGAGTGGCGTAGTTGAAAAAGGGAGATATCAAAGGTTAGTAGGAAGGCTTATTTATCTGTCTCATACTAGGCCGACATAGCCTATGTTGTGGGAGTTGTAAGTCGGTTCATGCATGATCCTAAAGAAGAACATATGCAAGCTGTCTACCGGATTCTTCACTACCTCAAAGCTACTCCCGGAAAAGGTATTTTGTTTAAAAGGGGTGACAAGCTGAATCTTGAAGCCTATACTGATGCAGATTATGCTAGGTCACCAATAGATAGAAGGTCAACATCCGGCTATTGCACTTTTCTAGGAGGAAATCTTGTCACTTGGAGGAGTAAAAAACAAAATGTGGTTCTTGAATCTACCGTGAAGCTAAATTCGAGAGCAATGGCGAATGGGATATGTGAACTTTTGTGGCTCAGGATTATCATTGAAGACCTCAAAGTGGAACACGAAGGAACTATGAGACTCTATTGTGATAATAAATCAGCAATCAACATTGCTCACAATCCGGTTCAGCATGATCGAACCAAGCACATTGAGGTAGACAGGCATTTTATAAAGGAGACGCTTGAATCGGTTTGATTAGTACTCCCTACACTCCTAGCAAAGATCGGCTAGCGATGTACTGACCAAAGGCCTACCGGTGTCGAGATTTCGGAGATTATCACAAGTTGGGCATGGAAAATATTCACTCACCAACTTGAGGGGGAGTGTTGGAAAATCTCCTATAATCTCTCCCTAATTATTTGGAATATTATGTGATTTGATTTGTTAGCTGTAAATATTTGATTTGATTTTGTTACCTAATTTAGGTCTTCTATTCTTGTATATATACACCTTGTAATTACTCAATCATAATAAGAAAAATACAGATTCTTTTCTTCACTAATTATCAATCCAGTTCACTTCCCCCTTGTACAAGTCTTACCTCGCAACTGTTAACACAGACGAATCCCGCTCCTTTCATGTATGAACTAAAAGATGGATCTCAATCCAAACCTACAGACATGCATCTGTTTCCTCAAATATGGAGTCCAATGGATTCAAAGAGTACATGAACATTTGTGCTAAACTAAACAACAATTCCTTCTGTTTTTCCAATCCAATACACATGACAGGAGATAGCACAAAAAGAATGAAAGCTACTGGAATAGGCAGAAAAGATGTACCGTGGCCATAGGCCTTCACATGGAGGTAGCACAAAGTGTCCTTATTTGAGCTTTGGTTTGACATGCAAATGACAATAATATAAATATCCCCAACAGTAATTCAGATAGAATCACATCGAGTCATTCTCCAACATAGCAGTGCACGCCAATCAAGTTCAAAGAACAAGTGTATGCAAGTCCCAGACGCATTTTTGAACTGTTATCATCTGGTTAACATCAAGCTGATAGACCATGCAATCATCTGAGAAAATCGTGCTTATTACATCCGTTGCAACTCTTCCAGCACCAATGTAACTGTTAAGAAATAAAGGATAATTAACCCAGCCTTTACTCAATTAACTGCAGAAAATGACATCATGTAGAACTCAATATCCAAGTGGAAAAAATCGTTGCCTTGTCCATTCATCGTTAATAAAATCAACATTAGTGTTTTGTTGACACCCAGACAGAATTGAACTGAAATGTTCAACTGGATGAATCGGGCTGGGGGGTTGCCTTCAACAGTCGAGTTTCCTCAAACCCCGAATTTGACCCTGGTTGAGAAGTAAACTGGTGACCCAGTTCAACTTGTTAATTTTTGAAAAAGTGACCTGATTACACTAAGGAAAGAGAGCAAAAGCTCCACACCATTCAACCTGTGAATTATCCTCTTGATTATAAAATTGTATCTGTCAGGTTTCGGGTTTTTCTTTACATATAAAGTCAGCTTGCGAAAGAGTAAAATGCAAGTAAGAAAATTCAAACCTAGGGCTCACATCGACCATCCTAATTGAGGTCGAGTTTTATAACTAATATTGGCAAATTTAATATATAAATGAAAAGCCTGATTAGTGAACAGTCAAACCAGGGACAGGGGTCAACTGAACGGACCACATTTAACAGAAGACCCGTAGAAGGATGAACAAATGGACATTTTCTCAGCTTTTACAATTGGAAAAGAAATGCAGTAAGATTACACAAAACAACTCCCATTTTCATTTTCTTGGGGCAACAATAGCAACTAAACAAATGGATTAACCGTATTGCACATCCCTGGGTTCCTTATGCACCAAAGTGGCTGAATGGGCTCAGCGCCAATCCCTCTACTGACCATTCTACTCCTCCATTCATTCAAACGATCAGTTGCTTCCGCGTATCTCTTCATGCCTTTCTCGTCCCGATTCCCTGACCACATGCTCTCTGCCATTGCTGAAGCTCTAGGCCAGATACGTGCATCTAGAACATTTGGGTCCGCCTGCTCTGACCAGAGTGCAACCTCTCCACCAAGCACCAATGTTGCTTCCTCCTCAGTTAAACCATATGTTATATCATAATTGTATATAGTCTGCCACGTTTTGAAAGGTCCACACCATGAACCACCATTCCCTGGATTACTGCCTGGCGGCTGATCATATTGACTATCATTTCCAAGAAAGTCTCCATGCCCACAATCCAAGTAGTAGAAATCTGATGATGACACGATGGCTCGATATCCAGAAGAGACAATCCTTTTTGTGTTATTGGGACCATTATTCCATGTCTGCAAGATAGTGTGCTCTGGGGGAAGAAGTGATTTATCCACCTTGATATTCGGATCTAACAAGACATCTTCCCAGTAGACAGCAGTCCTATTAAGAGATAAAATATAAGGTAAGGTGGAGTTGACAAATGTCTCAAGTAGCTGACTCAGAGTGCCACCGCTCGACAAGAATGCTTGAATTGTTGGATCGGCTTTCCAACAGCCAGGTATGATCTCATCAGCTCCAGCATGGAAGAATTGATCTGGGAATAATGTCACCACATCACGAATGACGTTCTTGAGAACTTGATAGGTCTTTGGGTTCAATGGGTTAAGATGACCCGTTCCCGGTTCTGATGCTAGCCGATCTGCCCATTCACTTCCTGCTGGCCACCAAAACATGTTTGCGCAGGTTACAATTTCTGGATAAGCTTCAGCCCACGATCCTGTATGACCTGATGACCAGTAGAAAAATGCCCAGAACAGAATCAGATAGATACAGTGCTACATTTGGAAATGGTACTCATCTTTCATAAATCTTGAAAAAACGAATTTCACCAAGAAGTTGATGCTCATATTGCTTATTGAGAATTCCTCGAACAATAACGATGATCAGATGACTACAATCCAAATGCTCCTCATTTAATCTAATTCCTGGTGATTCTTTAGATAAAAGCATGTACTATGACAATCCCACCTTTTTCCCCTGTTTCTCTTTCTTTTTCAGCAATATGCTGAATTTTCTTGTTCCTGCAGTGAGGGCACTCTCAGTATCAAAACACATGAATTCTCACTCGGTGTTTAAAATTTTTTTTCAGACAAAACTGTTCTAATGCATGTCTTTAGTCCCTAAGTTTCTCATGGAATAACTGGTACAACCAATTCTACATATTTGACATCTTGCTCTTCTTGCACACGCAAGCGTCAAAATTTGATTTCTAGCCACTAGTTCAGTCGTAAGGTCCACATCTCTCATCTGACTTAACAAGTTTCTCTCAGAATCCTTTAGTAGTTTAATAAGACGATTAGGTGAAGTCTATAAGTTCCCAGAAGTAAGAATATTATCAGATTGGCATTAGACATAAGTTGGTAAAGGGTCAACTAACTTTCTGATTCATCATCCTGTCTCAAAGCATATCTACTTGTTTTAATAATTTCTCGACTCCTGACACCCACATTTGCTATACTATTATTGTTTTCTTGACTTTCCCTTCAAGCCTTAAAATGGAAATTGGTACCCACATTGTGCTATACTCTCTGCATTATTGTTTTCTTTACTTTCCCGCATTTTCAGAGAAAATGAACCGTTTGGAACAGGAACATGTAAACTTATTTAAATAGCAATCGTAGAGAACCCTAAAAGTCAAAATAATAGTTTTTACTGCAAAACGCGAATTCTGCTGAATCTAGATAGTGCATTGTTTTTGAAACACATTTTATCTTCGAATTCATTTGCAAGAAAGTCAATGATAGGACAGGACCTGAAAAACAGAGGATCAGGAAAACCAGAAGAACAAACATGGGAGTACACTAATTTATGTTCAGCAGATGCTAATTTTAGCCAAAAGAAGAAAGAGAAATAGTCAATGAAGAAGTACTATAAATCCACTCACCAGGCATGTCTAATTCTGGCAATACACGAACCCCATGTTCCAGGCCAAATTCAACGATGCGCCTAACATCAGCTGGTGAGTATTGCATGTCAGACCCATAGGCTCCCTTAGCTGCTAGATCGGGTTCTGAAGGCAACAACAAAGGGAATGAATGCGAGTCAGTGATGTGCCAATGAAAAACATTGAGCTTGTTGGCACTCATTGCTCCAATAGTCCTTAGGATGTCTTCAACTTTATAGTAGTTTCTCGAGGTATCCAGCACTATCCCTCTATAAGAAAAGATTGGCCAATCCCGCACCTCCACTCCAACAGCCACCCATGAGGGCTTCCCCCACACAAGCTGGGAGAATGTCTCAAGACCCCTCATAGCACCCCATACTGTCTCGGCAATCAGGCTCGCTTTGTCGCCTGAGGTGGGGATGCTAAGGCTGTAGGATTCATTCACACCATGGCTGAGAGGAGCAGCTAGATCATTGACCAGTACAAGCAGAGTTTGCAAAGTGGGGCCATTCGTCAGGTTGGCATGCGGATTGGAAAGAGGATAAAAATGCTCGGAGAGGATGAGATGAAGATAGCGGTTAACAGAAGCTGAGAGGTATTGGTGATGGGGAGATTCGATGGTAAAAGAAGGAGACAGTAAGGTCGCCTGTTGAGTTGGCCATGAAAATTCTCTTGGTTTTGGCCAAACACTGATTGCACTACACTCAACAGATAAAATGGGAGAGCATACTAGAAACGTGATGGTGATGAAATTGATCAAAATTGGAGTGCCCTTACTCCACTTGGGAGCAGGGCCATCACTGTGCTGGTCCATATAAGTCTCCGGGTCAAACCGAATCATCTAGCAGCATCAAATGACAGCAGCTGCAAGAAAGACAGGAGTTTAACTACTGAAGGTAGCGGACTGTTAAGGAATTGTCAATTCCCAAATTAAAGAACAAAAAGGGATTAATTCAGAATTTGAATCGGACGATCACCACATGAGAGAATTAACAGTAATGCGAAAAAGTGAATTGGAGAATTTTCTGTATATTTCGATCTATAAACTGAAAGTATTTACTTCTTCTTATGTGACCAATATTCACTTCAGCAAATCTCAACCACCAAAATAGACGACCCACATGGAGAACACAATGGATCACAAGAGCATTTGAAACAACAACTCCCCCTTCTTAATACCAGGAAAACGGAGCAAAAACGAATAAAGTACGAATCCAGAACACAGAAATCAATGGAGGATGAAAGAAAAAACGGAGCACAGGATCCTGAAGTACACAGAGGATGAAAAGGTTGAAGCTTTACCTTCCACGAGTGCTCGGACACGCCGATGCAAGCAGAAAACAGCCACATTTATAAGAACCCAGTTAGAGGGAAAACGATTTCAGTACACATAACAAAAGGAATCTATCGACGGGGCCGGCAAGGGACTGTACCCGCCATCTGTCCGCGACCCAAGAGCTCTTTCCGCGTCCTCTTCCATCAAAGTAAACTACGCTTCCTTAAAAATTTCATGGCCCTCTTGGACTTTTCTCCGTGTAGCTTCTGCCTCGGCAGCGATCGCTGGTCGAATTCTATAAGCGAATTCGCCCGCGACGCCAATTGGTCTCTTCCCCTTGTCCTATGCCTCGCGCTTCGCTCTGCTGAGAATGTGTGGACTCTCGAGAGAGAGAGAGCGACGGTGATAACGACTCGCGTTGAAAATAGACGTCGCCCGGCGGATACGAAGACCAAGACTTTCCAGCAAAGGTGGGGTATCGGTAATAGAGCGGTAATAAAAAGTAGATGGTCCAACGTGTGAGGTCATCCATAAATTTTTAATTTATTCGATATGACCTCTGAAATTTAGCTTAATATGTAATATAATTTCTGAATTTTTAGTTAATTCGAAATGATCTCTGAATTTTATATACATATTTAACTTAGTAAAATGTTCAGTGTTGTCCCCGAACTTGAATTTATAAAATGATAGTATAGTTCAGGGACTACATTGATCTAAAGACCACATTGAATAAATTAATAGGGATCACATTGCATATTAGGTCAAAATTTAGGAATCATTTGTGTCATTATCCCAAAAAGAAAAGGGCAGAAGCCACCAAAAATCCTATATTGTGCCTTTACTCTTCATCAAAGTTCTGTTAATGATAATCATGGATGCCAGAAAATAAACTGTGTTGACATAGCTCCCACATAACTTAAGTAAAATAAAAAAGACGTTTTGACTGAAAAATCATCTAATGTAACTTTGACGAAAGGTAAATGTATCACCTAAGTAAATCACGAGAAAAAGTTTAGGGTAAACATATCCTAATAGGTATAGTTTTGGATTTTTGATATCACAATGTGTCACAGTGGGAATAATTAGGATTTTTTTATCTTTTTCTCAAAAGAAAAAAATAAACTATTACAAAAATATGGATTTTTTTTGTGTGGCTTTTACTCTTTTTCCGAAGTCGTTAATATTCAGTGTTGGTAACTTCTATTATAACGATATTAACTTCCTAAAAAGTATTGGCACATCATGGATTTGTAAAATACTCTTTGTACTTGGTTTTTGTTTAACTAGAGAACTGTGTAATCACCAATATCTGAAGTATTTTAACCCATTTCTAACATCCTTGTTTTTTTCTTTTTTGCTAGGCCAATAAAGATAAATTAATAATACAAGGTCAATCGAGGCATGTTTGCCATTAGCACATCATAATAGTAACTACTGTTAAGTAGAGGTAAAGTAACAGGGGATCGAGGTGGCCTCCCATCAACTTTTTTCACCCAAGCAAGTCTTGACTATGGACACTTCATCGGGTCGGGATCATCTCGCTCGTCGAGTCAGACCTCGGGACGGCCATTCAGAAAACAAAAGTGATGCTTGCATTGTCTTTTCTAGGAGGAGCAGCCGAAGGGTGCAGATTATCAACTGCCCGGGCGCGCCATGACCATTCCCAAGGGTAACACTCAAAGTTTTGTATGTCTTTTTACTTTTGGATCTTAATACGATAAGCTTTCCAATTCAAGAAGCATTCATCTGTCCTCACCCAATTCTGTCAATGTCGATACAAGAGATAACAAGAAAAGGCTTAGACGAAAACATCGAAACTGGCCTATGGATATTACTTTAAAATTCAAATCCTGAATGGGACAGATATAGCAAATTATACCCCAACACAACTGGAAGAGGAAATTGTAAACTAGCTGAGCACCTATTAACAAGATTCCACGAATTAGAGAAAGAGAGATCAACCAGCTGGATTCTTCTGTCTAAGTCAGTCAAGGACCCTTGCTGGATCCTGCAACATGAATTGGCTCTTTTTTTAACCATTTCATAACTGTATGACGAAACTATGTCGAGCAAACCATGATAACTCAAGTATAAAGGAAACTCGTCAGATCAGAAGAAGAATTCCTTAGAGCATTTCCAAAATTCTTGATTGGGAGTTTGTCCTGAATTTACCACCTACACCAAAGGGGCAGGCAATCCTCAGCTCTCAGAATTCTTTTGACTAGTCTGCTCTTAGATATTAATACTGGGGAACAAGCTACTGACTTGTCTAAGAATGGTGTAAAGAAAACAAGAAGCAATTGATCTATCGGATAGCTAAGCCAACATCAATATTGTCCTTCTAGCAAGAACTCCGAACTTCTCTGCCATAATATACTACAATCACTAGATTGAATATGTTTAAATGATATGCAAGGCTAAGCACAAGTATACAAACAAGTGAAGTAAATCAAATATAGGAGCAAGGAATAGAGTATTTGCTTAATTGATTTATAGTAGTTCAGCCCAAACTCGGTGCCTACGTCCACTCCCCTAGCCTCGCCAGGAGTTTTTTTTTTTTTTTTTTTGGTAACCCGGGAACCCCCCGCACGGCCGACAGCCGAGGAGGTAAACCCGGGGTGACGCTAGCGCAGGACCCACCACCACGACGTCACGCTTAAGAATCCCTAACGCCAGTGCTGGGATTCGAACTCCTACCCTTCGTGGGGGGAGGGGAGCCCGAAGCTAGCGCAGCCGCTGAGGGCGGTGGTAGGCTCGCCAGGAGTTTAAATCCATTAGCTCAAAAAACTCGTAGTGTCTCTCAATAGACAACAGCAAGCCATTTGCACAACCATTTCAACAATTTCCAACAGAATACAACCGTTTTTTTCCCACTTGAATAAACTCAAGAGAAACCTCGCTATATTTGGAAGTAATCTAAACAAAAGTTAGTCATTGCAGCTTCAAAATCAGTTTACTTGAAACATGGTTAGTTGACTGGCCCAAGGAACATCGTGACAAGGTGAATCCTTTCCACGCCCTGTCTGGTTCGGATGACCACTCCAATATGACAAGACATTCGGTCATGACTTGATCTGATCTCCTTCATAAATCCAATATCAACTTCAGCTCAAGTTGTTCCAGTTCTTTTCAATCCTAGACAACAGTGTTATTACTCTGAACCACCTCTGGGCTGCCTATGTAGGTGCCATATATGTTGAATGAGTCGGATACTGGGTACCTCACTAGCTGTCTGTTCGGTTCAGTGCTCACTATACATTTGGGAATGAAAAACCTTGAAAAGCATATAAAAATATTTTAAGCCACCTTGACTTCTAGAAGAACTTTCATAAGAACTTCAACAATGCTTATATGATCCTATCAACAATACGAAACAGAAATACAATGTGCTTGTTCCACATGATTAGATTACAACTGTTCGGGATTCACAACACTAGTGTTCGCTCCAATCATTCATTTACATGCAGATGCAAGCAGCTTGTGACAAATTAAATCAGAATTATCAGCACAACCTTAACAAACAAGTTTTGGTGCTATATGGAAGACATAATAATAGTCATCTACAAAGAATAAGACGTGAAAGAAGAGTCCACCCGCAGAGCATTATACATGATTCTGGGATATTTCGCCAAGTGAGACTTGGCAGGACTCAAAAAGGCATGAGGAGATGAAAAATCATTTATATAATGTATAAATGGCGATCTTCCTATTATAGTTGCTGCTCTTAGAATGGTCCATTTCCACACATCCCAAGCCTAATCTGAAGAAATCTGGAGAAATCCATAATAAGTGAAAAACTTCAGTAGTTAAAGTAATTTCTCCCATGAGAGTACAGGAATTACCAAGAACAGAGGCATATCATTTGCTGACATCGGCAATTTCGCCAAACACTTTTTTGACAGCATCTTCAGTGCATGCCCAGCAGCAAGAACCTACAATAAGGCCCTTCTTGATTTAGTCATCAACAAAAATATGTTGACCGCTTTGATAAACCTTTCAACTCCACCTATAAGAATCAGATCAACATGCGACAACTTTCTTAAGGCGAAAAGAAAAGCATCACAATGTTTCCTCACCCAGATCAAGAAAGTGGCATGGCCAAGAATCTCTCGTAAAAGATGTTTTCTTGGACGACCTCTGGACTGAAAAAATATGAACAAGAAATTCAGGGCAAAATACCATGTTCACACAATATTTCAGAGTTCATGGAACGAGACTGAAGATATAATACAAAAGGAAATAGATGATTACATAAAGCATGGCCCTGTCATGATCCTGTGCTCATTGCCGAATGACGATGATAAACACGAACCGGGATTGATTCTTTTGGCCCCAATTATCAACACCCATTGAATTGACGATGAAAACCCAGAAAAGAAAAATGCTGTGGAGCCATCCTTAGGGATTTGAACAATACTGGAGTAGAAGAGATCATGAAGGAGAAGGTCAAAAACGTTACGAATTCTAACTACAATCTTGGATAAACGAGTCGAGACTTACAGGGGTCTTGCTTCGCGATGACTGTCAGTAAAGACCGGAGATACTGAGACGTGAAGAGAGTGAGAGCGTTGGGGGGAGGAGATGGAGTGATAGAGGGACGTGAAGAGAGGATCGAAGAGTGCTTAAATTGGATGAGAAAATGGCGGTGAGATTTGAAAGATGGCTCCTTGGGTGAACGTTAAATGGAGGGCGGTTGGTAGTTGGCACTGCAAAATTATGTTTTTTTTTTATTATTGGGAAATAATCAAGTGCACTATTGATTTTCTGACACTTTTTATTATTAGAAACTAATAAACAGATAATTAATTTCCAGGGAAATTAAATAGATAGAACAGAAGGGTCAAGAGGGAGAAAATAAATGGGAGGGGGGTGCGGGTGATTTGTAGTATGAACTTTGGCATTTGTTCTGCACATAAGACTCAACTATCATTGATTCACGGGTTAATATCACGAAAAACCCCAAACTAGTACACTTATGACAAATTTACCTTAAATTAATTTTTTGACCACCAAAAACCCCAAACTGGTACACCTGTGACAATTTCACACCAAACTAATTTTTTTATCACAAAAAACCCCAAACTGGTATATTTGTAACAAATTTACCCTCCGTTAATTTCAGTTAAATTGGATTAATGCAAAAAAAAAAATCACAAACTGGTACAATTGTGATAAATTGAGAGTAAAACCCAAAACTGGTATATTCGTCAACTACCGGATATCATTTAACAAAGCAATTTAACAGTAAAATTTAACGAAAACTAACGCAAGGTAAAATTATCACAGGTGTACCAGTTTGAGGTTTTTGATGGTCAAAAAATTAGTTTTGGGTAAAATTGTCACAGGTGTACCAGTTTGAGATTTTTCATGGTATTAACCCTTGATTCATTTAAAGAATTGTAAATGAAAACTTATTAACGAGCCCTTTTAGAGCACCTTTTATACATATATTATAAATTAGCTTATATATTTTGACTATCGATGGAAAAAGCACTGGTAACTTCTATCTTTATGATATTGACCTCCTAAAATGTATTGGTACATTATGGATTTGTAAAAATACTCTTTGTTCTTGGGTTTTCTTCGACTACCTATACCTCAGAAAAAGATAAATTAACTTATTTCGACTAATCGTTAGAAAGAATCCTCCGTCCTTTAAGAGTAATGTTACTAGTGAAAACTAGGATGAAAGTTAGGAGAGACTAATTACCAAGTCCTGAAAATCAACCAGATGCAGCACCGGAATCATCGCTCGTCGAGTCAGCCTCGAGACAGCGATTCAGAAAATAGAAGTGCTGCTTGCATTGTCTTTTCTGGCGGAAGCAGCCGAAGAGCGCAGATCATCGATTGCCTGGGAACATCATAGTATGTGACAATAGGGCTTACAAGATATGCACTTAGTGCAAAGTGCGCATGGGCGGCAGGGCAACAGGGATTCAATGAAAACCTAAAACACAAGAAACAGATACTTGAACTTTCGTATTAACTTAGCAAGTCGCTATGACTGACAAAGAAACAGGGGAGTGAACAAAGAAACTTGTCCGTGGTCGATAGTAACAACCATTCTCAAGGACAACAATGAAAGTTTTGTATGTCTTATTGCTTTTGGATCTTAATACAATTAGCTTTCCATCTCAAGAAGGACCCACCTGTCCTCAAAACCCAATCCTGCCAATGTCAATACAGGAGCTAACCACAAAAAGGCTTAGAAGAAAACCTCGAAACTGGCCTATGAATATCGCTTAAATTCAAATCCTGAATGGGACAGATATAACGAACTATACCCCGACATAACTGGAAAAAACAAAATTTTAGTCTAACTGAGTGCCTATTGACAAGATTCGACGAATTAGAGAAAAAGAGATCAACCAGGATTCTTCCACTTAAGTCAGTCGAGGACTGTCGCTAGATCCTGCAACATGAATCGGCTCTTTTTTGAACCATTTTAAACCGTATGACGTGTATTTGTCGAACAAACCATGATAACTTATGTATAAATGAAACTAGTCAGATCAGAAGAAGCAATACTTAGAGCATTTCCAAAGTTCTTGATTTGGAATTTGCCCTGAGTTTACCACATACAGTAAAAGAGCAGGCAATCCTCTCCTCTTAGAATTCTTTTGATCAGTCTGCTCTTCGATATTAAAACTTGGGAACAAGCTACTTCGATATTAAAACTTGGGAACAAGCTACTGACTGGCTTGTCTAAGGATGGTGTAAAGGTAACAAGAAGCAACCGAATTATTGGATAGCTAAGCGAGCGTCATTCTAGCAAAACTCAGAACTTTTCTCCGAAAATATACTAGAAACACCAGTGTAAATATGTTTAAATGATATGCGACACCAAGCACAAGTATAGAAACAAGTGAGGTGAATCAAATCTTTCTGCAGCTTGTCTGGTCCGGATGACCAGTTTACAAACAAGTGAGAATTTAGTTGGTAAATCAAATCTTTGTACAGCCTCGAGACAGCAATTCAGACACTAGTGTTTGGAGCAAGGAAAGAGAATTTGCTCAATCGATTTATAGTGGTTCGGCCCAAACTCAGTGCCTATCCTGTGTCTACTCCCCGAGCCTCGCCGGGAGTTTAAATCCACTATCTCAAAAAAAACATTTACAATTCAGTTTATGATGAGCCAAATACTCCAGCACAACTGGAATTCACAACTCGTACAAGTGAGTTTCTTTCAGTAGACAATAACAAGCCTTTTGCACAACAGTCTCAGCAATCTCCAACATAATACATGTGCTTTGCCCACTTAGCAACTAAGCAAATGGATGAACCGTAGTGCACATCCCTGGGTTCCATCCCTGGGTTCCTAATGCACCAAAGTGGCTGCATGGGCTCAGCGCCAATCCCTCTACTGACCATTCTACTCCTCCATTCATTCAAACGATCAGTTGCTTCCGCGTATCTCTTCATGCCTTTCTCGTCCCGATTCCCTGACCACATGCTCTCTGCCATTGCTGAAGCTCTAGGCCAGATACGTGCATCTAAAACAGTTGGGTCCGCCTGCTCTGGTCAGAGTGCAACCTCTCCACCAAGCATCAACGTTGCTTCCTCCTCAGTTAAACCATACCATTATTGTATATAGTTTGCCACGTTTTGAAAGGTCCACACCATGAATCACCATTCCCTGGATTACTTCCTGGCGGCTGATCATATTGACTATCATTTCCAAGAAAGTCGCCATGCCCACAATCCAAGTAGTAGAAATCTAATGATAACACGATGGCTCGATATCCAGAAGAGACAATCCGTTTTGTGTTATTGGGACCATTATTGCATGTCTGCAAGATGGTGTCCTCTGGGGGAAGAAGTGATTTATCCGCCTTGATATTCGGATCTAACAAGACATCTTCCCAGTATACAGCAGTCCTCTTAAGAGATAAAATATAAGGTAAGGTGGAGTTGACAAACGTCTCAAGTAACTGACTCAGAGTGTCACCGCTCGACAGTAATGCTTGAATTGTTGGATCGGCTTTCCAACAGCCAGACATAATCTCATCAGCTCCAGCATGGTAGAATTGATATGGGAATAATGTCGCCACATCGCGAATGACGTTCTTGAGAACTTGATAGGTCTTTGGGTTCAATGGGTTAAGATGACCCTTTCCCGGTTCTGATGCTAGCCAATCTGCCAATTCACTTCCTGCTGGCCACCAAAACATGTTTGCGCAGGTTAAAATTTCTGGATAAGCTTCAGCCCACGATCTTGTATGACCTGATGACCAGTAGAAAAATGTCCGGAACACAATCAGACATACTGTGCTACGTTTGGAATTGGTACTCATCTTTCATAAATCTTGAAAAAACGAATTTCATCGACATGCTCCTAATTTAATCTAAATCCTGGTGATTCTTTAGATGAAAGCATGAAATATGACAATCCCACCTATTTCTCCCGTTTCTCTTTCTTTTTCAGCAATATGCTGAATTTTCTTGTTCCTGCAGTGTGGGCCCTCTCAGTGTCAAAACACATGAATTCTCACTCGATTTTCAAGATCTTTTTCAGACAAAACTGATCTAATGCTCGTCTTTAGTCCCTAAGTTTCTCATGGAATAATTGGCACAACCAATTCTAAATATTTGACATCCTTCTCTTCTTGCATACACAAGCGTCAAAATTTGATTTCTAGCCACTAGTTCAGTCGTAAGGTCCACATTGCTCAAACAGTTTCGTAGCTAGAGTTGAGTTGTGGACTTGGTAGACTGAAGTCCTTAACGTTTGAGCCGGACAACGGAATTAGATTAAATGAGGAGCATTTCGATTAAATTCAGCACCAACTTTCTCTTTTGCTTTTTTTTTTTTTTTTGGTCTCAATAAAAGGCACCAACTTATGGGCCTAAGAAAGAAGCGTAAGAATAGACATGGCACTAGTATATCTTTCTAAATTGACTGCCAAACTCTATTAATCAATGCACCGGGAAATTTTTCTGTTTCCCATAAATGCTAAAACTCCATCAATGCATGAGGAAGAATTTTGGTCTCCGCTTAACCTAAATCTCTTGTATTGGTTGATCAAGTTAGCCATTCGATGCGGTAAACTCAGAACTTAACATTTGCCATGTTAATCTAGCTAGCGCTTTAACGTGGGAAAAGCTGTTTTTTTTTTTGGGCTAATTATACATAATCTAGGAGTCCTTGTGGAAAATAGCATATCCCAAATTTTCATGTGGAAATCGGGTGATTGTACCATATCTTCAGACTTCCCCTGCAAGCAGACCAAATTAAGAAGAAAGTCTACCGGTAGTTTCTTGTGGAAATTACTTTTGGTTTCACATTCAGAAAATCGGAATAAGAATATCAAAGATGCATGAGCCACAAACTATCTTTCTTCTCGGTTACATGAGTTTAGAAAGATATTATGAGATGGTGATGCTTGAATCGAATCCAATCATGAGGAAGATTGACTCTTCCTAATTGGTGTAAACATGATCTCCGAGAGAGAGAAATCAAACCCTAATCAATGAGAACAGACACTGAAGAAAAGAAGATATATCAACAAACTCTAAACTTAATATTTTCAATTTGTTCATTCAAGCAAGTGCAGCGCATCTTGCAAGCCGTGCATACGATAATAGCCACCAGAAAGTACTATTTGGGATTGAAGAGCCATTATTGCAGTGAGTGCTCTCTCTATACTTTCGTCTCTATAACTTTTTTACCAAGTCTGTTACAACTTGTGCATGTGTCAATGCACCGATCAGTTCAATGCCTCGGTCTTAAGAATGCAAGCAACTTCTTCCACGTTCCTGAAAGGGGTCAATAGTTCCGTCGCAATGACCTGGAGCGAAGAGACCTTCTCTTTGAGCCGACCATTCTCTTGGAGGATCTGGCTATTGCTCTCCAAAAGGCTAATGATTTTGTCAGCGAGTTTGTTGTTGGCGCCTCGGAGCTGGTCCACTTGCATTTGGAGCTCTTCGATCTGCTTCTTCTTCCTCAGCCGCGACCTCCGCGCAGACGCCCGGTTCGATATCCTCCTTCTCAGCTTCTTCTCATGGACGACATTACTGACATGGTCAAAGTGATGACGTTGGTTGACGCGATCTTCGCCGGCCTCGTCAAAGGCGGCGTAGTTGTCACAGAGAAATGGGTTTGGAGAGAGCTCGCCAGTGAGGTGGGGACTGGGGAAGAAACCGCCGAAGGGGATCGACGATATGGTGAAATCAGGTGAGATTTTAGGGTCTGTATGCAGGGCGCTGAAGGGGAAATGCGGTGGTTTTTGTTGGGGAGGGAAATGGAGGAGAGTATGAGCAGTGTTTGGCTGAGCGAGGCTGGAGTTTTTCACTCCACTTAACTGAGCCAGCTCCAGCTCCATACTCAGAGAGAGAGAGAGACTGAGAGAGGGGGGACAAGAGAGGAAGGAGTATTGGGAGGGCAAGAGGGTTTTTATAGGCAAGTGTCTTAAGAGAGCAATGCAACAGAGTAGAATTCTTAGGAATAACGTGAGCATCATGTAAGCAACAAAAGAGATACGTATATTGTACGGGTCACTCATGTGTTCCGATCGCGACGAAAGGTCATGGGAGAGATGATTTGCTCATGGCGGGTTTTCCTCGACGCGATCATACAAGTCTGCATATTCATTACCAAGTGAATGTGGATAGAAATTTAGATAAATTGTTGGTCATTCTGGTCAAGCTGTCTTCATTAAGCGAGAATGGTGGAATCTCAGACTAATGAACTAAGAAAAAGATGTCCAGGTCTTTTAATCAAGCGGTAGGTTGGAGCTTTTATGTCGATAGTCCAAAATGTGTAATGCACACCAAACCAACTATGCTTAATCCATAAATTGCCCATTGATTATTTCACTACAATTTCAGGGTGCGGAGCTACCTTCATTTATGTCCCGTTGACAAAAGTGGTACAGACAATGTGAAGAAATCGGTCAGATGTAACTTAGTAATGAAAATAACGAGGCAAGTAATTAATAGCTAGAGGACGCTCTCCATATTCGTGATTAGCTCTACTTGTCTTACAAGTTTTACAAGCAATGAAACTCAAAGCTTCAAAAAAGAGGCTGTCATTTCATGGGAAAATTGTCCAAAAAAGCTTTAAACATATTATACTTTTACTAATTCAGTCATAAACATTTTAAGTTTGTCAATTGAGTCATAAACATTTTCACTTGTTACCAATTAAGTCCATCCGGTCAATTTTGGCCGCCCGAAGCTGACGTGGACGCTGATTGTCCAACAAACGCTGACGTGGCAATTTTTTATAATATTTTTTTCCTTTTTTTCCTTTTTTTTCTTTTTTTCTGGTCTTTTTCCCTCTAGCTGGTCGCCGGACCGGCCAGAGGCAAGAGGCCGGTGAGGTCGACCTCGCCAGCCTCTGGCAAAGCTCGCCCCCGCTGGCCACTGGTGAGGGCGAGCCTTGCCGGCCCCTGACTAGGCGAGGTTGAACCTCCCCCAGTGACGGCAAGGCCAACCTCGCCCAGCGACGGCACGGTCGACCTCGCCAGATCTGGGTGAGGTCGAACCTCGCCAACCCTTGGCCTCGCCCAACAACGACAAGGCTCGCCCCCGCCAACCATTAGTGAAGGCGAGCCTCGGCGACCTGGTCGCTTGGGTCGACCTCGCCCAGATCTAGCGAGACCAACTTCGCCATCGCTGGGCAAGGTCGACCTCGTCGTCGCTAGTCGAGGTTCGACTTCGCCTAGCTAGGGGCCGGCGAGGCTCGCCAGTGGCCAGCGGTGGCGAGCTTTGCCAGACCTCGCCGGCCTCTCGCCTTTGGCGGCGACCGGCCAAAGGGAATAAGACCATAAAAAAAATCGAAAAAAATACGTAAAAATTACCACGCCAGCGTTTGCTGGATGGCCAGCGCCGGACGGCGTCCACGTCAGCTCCGAGCGGTCAAAATTGGCTGAATAGACTCAATTGGCAAGAAGTGAAAAGGTTTAGAACTCAATTGGCAAACTTAAAAGGTTTAGGACTGAATTGACAAAAGTGCAATAGGTTTATGACTTTTTAGACAATTTTCCCATCATTTCATAGTCCATATGTTTTACGCATTTGACAAAGTGGGCCGCGCAAAATTCGGTAAAAAGAGATCCGGGATTATTGCCCATCCCAATTTGCAAACGGGAAGATGCTCGACAATGACCATCCGACCTAAAAGAACCGCAAGAAAAATAAAACGACACGTCTCTCGTTGGCTCTCGGGGAAATTAATGTATGACGAAAATGGGATGAACTATCGAGCAGGCAGTTCCCAAACAGTCCTCTGTGTTACTGGTTATGGTTATTGTCCATGTGGACATACGTGGCTGTTGAGTAATTGCTTCTTGTGGGGACAATGCCGATGGCCAACACAAATAGATATCGGTGATGTAACTCGAAGAACCAAAAGACGGGTATTAATTAGGGTTGACATTTTGATACCGAAAATCACCTATTGATAAGATAGCATGGTGATTTTTAAGTGTTTCCCGGAAATTTTAGTAGGCAAATTTTATCGATTGAGCACTTAGAAGAGCTTCTAGAGTTGCCGATGCATCTATCGTCGCATTTTAGCTAATGGAATGGGGGCAATGTTGGTATTTAACATCCTTTTTGACAGCCTCGAACACCCAAACAAAAGTGAAAAAATAAATATATCATAAAAATTAGAGTTCAATTTAACTTAAATGAGATCGACTTAATTTTACTTCTGATGTTAACAGGGTTTTAGCCTGAAAAGCTTTGGAGTATCGATAAACGAAGAAAAAAGAGGAAAAGACCTTGTCAAAAAATGCAGATACTATCAACACAGGCAAGAGTTGTATCTCTTTTGTCGATTAAAAGGACGCCTTTTTATTGATGTCGAAAAGCCAAGCAACTACCAAAATTCGATTAACTCCAAACAATTGAACCCTACAACTTCCTCTTTGCTAAGTCTAAATTAGGATGGCCACAAGTTTAGTGCTCAATCTTTGACCAAAAAAGCATATCACATCTGCCTCAGTTATTACTTTTCCTTTTCCTTTTCCTTGAAATGGATGGATGGTCGGTGATGCAAGCTTGCACGCAACGGGCTGGACTCTGGAATTGGCATGAAATAGAAATTGTCGACATTAAACAAAGTCTAAGACTTTAACCGCTATGGTGTTACACAGATCATAACCAAACCAGAGAGAATTAGCCCATTTAAAGCACGACCAAAAGAACACCAGCTTTCATCCAACTTTTTGCCCATGAAACAACTAAGCAATATCTACGTTCATAGTTTAGAGCTAAACCAGGTTGCGCCATATCTTAGAAGGAATTTCCTGAGCAAAAACCAGAGCTCCTCTTGAAAGGGAAATCAAAAGTTCTCAGCTCTCCCCTTTTTTCCATTCAATCCCCAACCCCACACGAAGGGACAAAGCTACCCAATTTCCGCAGTAGATCCTTCCTCACCTCTCTGATTTTCACACATGTAAGCCCTCAACAGTAAAGTCAAATGTGAGTAATATTGCCTATGCAGCAAGTAAGTATGACTTGTACTGTTAGTATAACCGATATCTTTGTGAGATTTTGTGGGACTACTGCCAACTGAGACCTCTGGCTCTAAGTTTTAGAATAGTTGGCAGTGATCCCACAAAATTTCACATGGTATCAGAGCTGAAGGTCCTGAGTTTAAATTTTTCCAGGCCTCATTTGCCTCTCCAATTAAATATTTCACGCTTAGTATTAGGCAAAGAGACCAAACTAAACGTGAAAGGGAGTGTTAGAGTAATTAAATATTAAATCACGCTTTCATTTAACAGCTTAAGCTTTTAGAACAGTTGGCAGTGGTCCCACAAAATCTTACAATCTCAAAATAACAAAAAAAACAAGAAGTACTTCGATTGTTGTGATCCAACAAGATTCTCGCATTCACTCATGCAACAGATACGAATGTATTATTCCATGCATGTACGCAGGTGCATATCGAAGGTTAATGCATCCATTGTGTATGCAAAATGTTCATGCATCCGTTTGATCTTATTCCAAAGTGAACAAAGTCAGTTGATATCTCCTTCCTTCAAACCTGTAATAGAGAACATACTCCTAATAATTTTAAACTTCATCCTAGGTTAGAACGACATTATCCCGAAACAAAATCCCGAATGCAGTGAACATTAATTAGCTCGTTGACAATCAAAATTTTGACTGGCAGATGGTTAATTCCCTATAAATAGAACGAAATCCTTGTAGGCAGCTCATTAGTCGACTATATACATGATAATGCCTGCAAAGTTAGTGTCGTGACTCACACCTTTTTACCGCTATCTTCTAATTCTTCCATATTGCCGTTGACATTATTGTCTTACTTCTAGCCTTCAAAGAATCAACAAAAACCTAAGGAGCACTAGTATTGTGGCTATCTACCATTTACAGTTACATAATGCAAGATGCAAACGTGATTAGCGATAAGTCCACATTAGTAACACTTTTCTAACACAAACATCTCTTCCTATGGACACAAAAGAGAAAAAATAAAACTCAATAAAATTCTCATGTCCAACTACTTAAAAGATCTGCCAATGGAATCAGTATCTAATCAATTCCTTCAATCACAAATTCTTGCAAAATATATTTGAGAATGTAGAATCTTCCACAATTACTGAAAAAATGGGATCGCAACATTCGTAACCCGGTATTTGAAGAGATAACATGTCACAGCTGCAAAATTGCCGATTTTCATACGCAAAAGTAAACACGAAGAGGAAAGAATGAGAGAGAGAGGTATTTCTACACACAAAGCCAAGCAATTTATTTATGACATTACTAAAAAGATAACACATTCCTAAAAGAAGGCAGACACAAGAAACGTGCGGGGTACGATCATGAACCCATAAATAGTCCCTTCACATTAGGTGAAATAGCAAAAGATCAACCATGTAGGATATAACACTAGCAAGTTGTTATTCCCACCCCATTTCTTATAACTACGAGATAATAGAAAGGAAAAAGGTCAAGCACATAGCAGGAATAACATCCTTTACAAACACAATAATTAAATTAGTGTCATCGAGCATGTCATCCTAATGAAGCAGATGAGGATGCCATCGTATGATGCTGTCCAATTTCACAAAAACCTGATACTTGGCAAGATTTTAAGAATTATACCTGACCTCAGTCCATGACCAAAGATCAAGTCATACTCTCTGCAACATCCTTCTACCCTCATAATCAGATTCGTCAGTGGGTAATTCATAACGACAAACAGGGCAAGTATTTCTCATTCGCAGCCACGTTAGGATGCAGTCTGAGTGGTATCTATGACCGCAAGGCAGATCAATGGCCTCGTACAAGTGAGTGTCTCTCAATAGACAATAGCAAGCCATTTGCACAACTTTTTCAGCAATCTCCAACAAGAATATTAGTGTTCTACCCACTTAAAGAAACTGAAGAAAAGCTCACTATGTGTGGGCATAATCTAAACAAAAGATAGTCATTGCAGCTTCAAAATCAGTTTACTTGAAACAGGGTCAGTCGATCGACCTAAAGAACATGGTGACCAGGTAAATTCTTTCCACAACCTGTCTGTCCGGATGACCACTCCAATATGACAAGGCATCCGGTCATGACGTGATCTGATCTCCTTCAAAAATCCAAAGATTGATTTCTGCTCAAGTTGTTCCAATTCTTCGTCAGTCCTTCACAATAGCATTACTATCATGAACCACTTCTTGGTTGCTTCTGTAGCTGCCATATACATTGAATGAATGAGGTACCGGGTTCCTCATTAGTTGTCCGTCTTGTCCGGTGGCTCATTATGCATTTGGGAATGAAACACCTTGAAAAGCCCCATACAAAAATAGTTCAGGCTACCTTGACTTCTGGAAGAACATTATTAATAATTTCCGAGTAATGCTTATGTGATCCTATCAACAATATGAAACAGCAATACAATGTGGTTGCTCCACATGATTAGATAACAACTGTTCGGGGACCAAAACACTAGTGTTTGCTCCAAACATTCGTTCACATGCAGATGCAAGCAGCTTGTGAAAAATTACATCAGAATAATGAGCAAGTCCTTAAAAAACAAGTTTGGGTGCTATATGCAAGACATAATAATATTAGTCCATAAAGAATAAGACGTGAAAGAAGTTTCTACCTGCAGAGCATCGTGTGATTTTGGGATATTTCAACAAGTGAGACTTGCAGGACTCAACAAGCATGAGGAGATGAAAAATCTTTTTATGATGGTAACTGGCGATCTTCCTACTATAGTTGCTGCTCTTGGAATGTTTCATTTCCACATATCCCAAGCCTAATCTGATGAAATCCAAAGAAATCCAAAATAAGTTAAAGAATTCAGCTGTTAAAGTAAGTTCTCCCATGAGAGTACAGGAATTACCAAGATACAATGAAGCCCTCTTGATAAAGTAATCAACAAACAATTGTTGGCTGCTTTGACAAACCTTTCAGTTCTACTTATAAGAATCGGATCAACACCCGACAACTTAATTGCGGTGAAAAGAGAAGATAAGTTGAGCAGATGAAGGAAAAGAAAAGCATCACGATGTTTCCTCCCCCAGCATCAAGAAAGTGACATTGCCAAGAATCTCTCATAAAAGACGTTTTCTTGAAAGACATCCGGACTGAAAAGATATGAACAAGAAATATTCATGGTAAAATACCATGTTCACACAATATTTCAGAGTTCATGGGACGAAACTGAAGATATAATACAAAAGGAAACAGATGATTACATGAAGCATGGCCCTGTCATGATCTTGTACTCGTGACCGAATGACGATGATAAACGCGAACTGGGACTTGATTCTTTTGGCCCCAGTTATCAACACCCACTGAATTGACGATGAGTACCCAGAAAAGAAAAATGTTATGGAGCCATCTGGAGGGATTTGAACATTACTGGAGTCGAAGAGAATATGAAGGAGAAGGTCAAAAACGTTACGAATTCTAACTGCAATCCTGAATAAAAGAGTCAAGATTTTAGAGGGGTCTTGCTTCGCGATGAGTATCCGTAAAGATCGAGAGGCTGAGACGGAAGAGTGTGATAGTAGTGTTGGGGGAGGAGATGGAGTGACAGGGGGACGTGAAGAGTGGGAGCGAAGAGTGCTTGAATTGGGGAGAAAGTGGCTTGTAAGATTTGAAAAAAAAAGATTTGAAAGATGGCCTTGCTTCATTCTTTGGGAGACCGTTAAATGGCGGGCGGGCGGTCGGTAGTTGGCACTCCAAAATTGCGATTTTTATTTTTATTATAAATAATTAAGTGCGTCTATTGATTTTCTAGACTGAAGTAATTTATACAATTTAGCCCTTTAAATTGTGTTGTTTGTTCTGTCAGCAACAGGTCTGAATAATATTGTTAATATGATTATGGCGTCCGATATGACAGTTTTTGTTATTAGAACCTAATAAATGGATAGTATTAGGTACAGAATAAAGTAATTTTTCGATCAAAAAAAAAAGTAACTTTTAATTTGAAAAAACAGGAAATTCAAAAGATAGAAAAGAAGGGTTAGGAGGGATGAAATAACTGGGTGGGGATGCGGATGACTTTGTAGTCGGGGATAATCAGCAAGGCGTGGTGCGAATCAACACATGATGAAGATGCAATTAGGGTATGAACTTGGCATTTGTTCTTGCAGATAATGCACTCCATGAAGATTCATTTAAAGAATTGTGAATGGAACTTCTCAACGAGTACCTTTATAACACATATTATAAAGAAAATTTTCGATTTAAATTGATTTTTTTTTTGGCTAAACGTCGATATCATGAAATATTTTCAAAGTGTCAATTACAGAATTTACAAAAATAATTAACACAAACTACAATCTTTTCTTAGTTAATTACTCAAAGAATATCGATAGTTCACCAGGAAGAAACAACCACTATTGAAATTACTCACAAGGCATGGAAGAACTCCACCGGTGAATCACTAGAGCCCCGATACGTTGATGATGCCATGGGGGGATTTGACTCGTTAAAGAACGATGAATTAAAATTGTTACTAGATAGCAAAGAGTCAATCCAACTTAGAAATTTCTAGGAAAAGGATAAGATTGTCTTGAATGGTTGCATTCTTGTCTATTATTAAGAAGTAGGTTGATCGTCATTTATCAATTATCAGGAGCTCCGATCGAGTCTTCCGCCCAAATCTAAAATTTGTTTAAACTCCCTTCCCATGTCCTACAAGAACTTTGAAATCAGAACCTTTGTACTACTGGATCAAGAGCCTCGCTTCCCAAATGAGGAATTCCTATTGATTGTTTACACAAGTGACATGCATCAGAGATTCAGAGTAACAACCAGCAATAAGCATAACTACCATAGTATATTATATAGACATTGAAACTGGTTCATGGTTCATACATTCATCCAACCATATAGTTCCACTCCAGCTTCCAACTTACTAAGGCCTAGAACTAGATAACAACCCAGAAGCAAACATCATAGGTTCATCATAACCTTTATTTATTTAATAACATATGAAATGACGACATGGCCAGCTCAGATCATTAACTTATCAAGCCTTCTCCCCAGTAAGAAGATCCATGACCACGCGCTTGATGCTCCCATTGTTCTTCTTCAGCAGCTTCTTGTTCATCTCCTTGTCACAGAAACCCTGCATTTTCAAATGTTGACAAATCAACTACCTGAACTTGAATGAAATTAATGTAAGGGACAATATGAGTAAAATAAAAGTTCGTTTTGCATACCATCTCCTGCAATTCTCCGAGTATAGGATCCCATTCAGCAACATCGCAGAGATCATCCACTGACTGCTCCAAGTTGTAGGCATTCATCCTCAGTATCTCCTTGTTCAAATCCACCTGCTTGAAGCCCATCTCCTCCAGCTCCTTCAGGAGCGACATTTCCACTGCCTCTGTGTCGCTGCCGACGGCTTGGGACGGTGCAGATGAAGAAGCAGTGACAGGAGGAGGCACCACTGCAGCAGTTGCAGCAAGAATTGCTTCAGGTGGCTCGACTTCCACTACAGGGTACGAAACAGGTCCAGAGTCCTCGGGAGGAGCAGAGGCTGATACCTCTTGGCCAACCAGCAAATTGTCATTTATGGGAAAATTGAGCTCCTGCTCCTCCTTGTGCTGCTCAACCATCGGCTGAACTGGTTCAGTGACTGTATTGGAGTTGTCGTTTCCAAAGAAGTCAGAAACTACGGCAGGCGGGACATTCATGTCTAAGATTTCAGAGAGTTTAGACTCATCACTTTCCGCAGGCAGATTCAGGTTCAAACCCTGGAGGCCATCACACAATGCATCGTTATGGGAATCATCAACCTGCACGAAGAAATGAAAATGAGTTGGGTATGACAAGCAAAACTCATAGCAAAGAAGAAAATGCAACAAGAAGCTACTTTACCTGAATCAAAACCCAAACACGCTGGCCGAACTTATGTCCTGAAGAAGATGCCATTCTCCAGTAGGAAATGTACCGACCAGCTGAAACTGGTGCCGTAAAATCAATAGCAATGTCCAGCTCCCCATCTACTGGCACACCTTGAGCAGGAACCTGGCAATTTTTTTTTTTATTAATGCTTTAACATATCGTGGAAAACACAAGTTAGAAATTTTCAAATGCCTACAATTAAGGAAACATGCTTACCTCGATTTCCACTGAATTAATGTCACTGAATTTGTCTCCTCCAATCCAGACCAGTTGTGTTCCCCGATGCCAAACAAAATTTCCATTATTGCGCATACGCCATATCTTAGTGAAGGGGGTCAATGGTGCCATCACAGTGCCATCCATCACAGTGACATCCGAGACGAAGCGACTGTCCAGCTTAGGCCTGCCAGACTTCCCTCCACAACCTCTCGGTGGATGGGGGAATGCTGAAGGAGCCGTCTCCCAAGGATGCTGCATCCAAGTAGTCGATGTCAGTTAAATTTGTTTCACGTCACAAACTTGTGGAGAAGTAGCAGAGAGAACTCCTAAGAAAACATACTAGATCATAAAATCCTTTGAAGGGCCTCGGTAGTCTATAGGCTCCATACAAGACTGGCCGGTCTATCCGGATATAGTCGGCAACATTACCCATTTCAGAGAAGCAGATGCTGCAAAGGTCATAATCTTCCTTCCTAGAAAAAGAGAAATAGAATTCGAGTAAATCCGAATACACGTCAATTGAAAAATCCCATTTCTATAGTTACAGAGCAAAAATAAGAGACCCTGCTTACACTTTCGATTTGAACCGAGGTCCAGTAATCGGATGAACACCACAGCCGTCGCAGCGAATACCCTTGTGGAATATACCGCCCATGGCATCAGTGTAGTTGGAGCTTCTTTTAAATGGATGTGGACGTCGGGGAGCACCATGTCCAAAAGACCAGTCATCAGCAAGAGACAATCCACTAAATGGTTCAAACGAGGGACCAACAGCAGCAGGCTTCGGCATTGCTGTAGTGTTTGCCACAGTTGGGGATGCTCCAGGGTCAACACTGCTAATGTTATCATTGACATTTTTCTGAAGTTCTGTCTGGACGTCAGCCTGTGTCTTCCCACCTGAGACATTCTGGACTTCCACCTTTGCATTTGGACCCGGTGTGACAGGCATGCCATTTACAAAAGGCAGTCCATGCAATGGTTGAAAGGAGCTGACTGTAAACCCAGGGATGCAAACAGGATGAGGATTAAGATATCCTGGATTGTGTACCGTGCTTGTGGATGCTCCAAAGGCAGCAGACTGGCGGCTAGCTAGATCCTTGATATAGTCATTCATTTTTTTATTCATTGTCTTCAAGATTTCCCCACGCACCTTCCCACCTGAAATGTTCTCCGATGCCACCTTTGTTTTCCCACCGGATTGGCAGCTAATCTGATCTTTCAATTTCTTTAATTCCCTCATGACTTCACCCTGTGTCTTTCCACCTGAAATTTTATGGCCTTCCACCTTTGTCTCTCCACCTGAAAGGTTCGACTCCCCAAGGAGATCGGCATTAAGATCAACAGGCACATGGACTGGAGCGGCAGACACGACCCCGCCTTCATCAACACCTCCATCATCCACATCCTTGCATTCCTTAGGTGATGAGTGTCCAAAATTAGAGTTTGGCATCACACCGTGCATGCTTTCATCCTTTGCAGCATCAGTATCAGCTGCCACTGAGGTGGCCCCAGGACTTGCAGAGCCACCATTATCACCACCCACGTTCCCACCAACCTGAGGCCGAAAACCGGTATTCAGGGAAGATTGACCCAACTTCGTAAAACTGTCAAAGAAGTCCGAAATTGTCGGACTAGAGGAGGCAGCTTTAGAAGCCAGGTCCAGCGATAGTTTTGAAATTGCTTCACGAATTGGTTCATGCACAGTTTTTAGAGCTTCAGCAACAACGGCACTGACATCAGGCAATGGTTGCTGGCCCTGAGAGGATCTTAGTGGGGTAGAATTTCCACTCGACCAAGCATATGATCTGCCACTTTTCTCACTATTCACAGATACATTAATCTTCAGGAATTTCAGATTCTGCCTCATCACATCACGCAGATCATTATCATCAACGAGAGTCACCACATCACCATCCTCATCAACATAGGTCAGAGTCAAATCAGCATCAGAAGGGAAACTGAACAGACTGAGGATCTTGGCCTTCAGGCCAACCACGTCGAGATCCAGGTTATACTTTTCATCCACGCGTGCATTGAAGCGCCTCAGAGTATGTTCATATTTGACCTACAACCATGTACCACAGTTAAGTGCGACATGCCTCCTTGAAAATTGTACCACAAATAACAAAAAAAAAGAGAAAAAAAGAAACTGGCTCTTAAGAAGCCCATGTTCAAATTAACTGACTACCCTGAAAATAAAATAAAATAAATGCACAACGGCCAAAAGAGAAACAGGTACCATCGTGTTCTTTGTAAAAGACAGTCATATGATTACTGCTAGGTTTTAAGGCACGCATAAACATCGCAAATAAGTCTCCGCACCATATAACCAACAGCTCCGGCACAGGAACCTAAGTTCCTGAAATGACTTAGCAAGCATGACAACATGCAGCACACTGAATCACGATAGAGAGCAAAAAAGACAGAAGCTGGGTTTCTCCCAAAGGCCCAAATTCTTGGCCTTGGTAATCAAGCATTTTCACAGCTAGAAAACTGCCGGCGACACCGAAACCCGGAACCGAGCACGGCACAAACCCATTCAGTCGGCGAAGCAACATGCCCAGATCACGAAAGTTTACACCCAAGCCCTAAAAGCACGGCATGCAAACAGAAAAGCAACCAGAATTCCCTCTTCCTAATTCGGATCGATTAAAAAAAAAAAAAGCACCTTTAATCCACCACGGTCCAAACCTACAGCTCGCACGTTGATTAAAGAGCTCAGCACACCCACACCCACACCCACACCCACACCCACACCCACACCCCAAATAAATAAATAAATCAATAAATAAAGATGGAAAATTTCGCGAAGCGACCCATGCAGAGCCCCACGGCGAGCGGCAGCTCCGTCGTTTCACCGACCGAAGCAGGAACAAATCGAGAACACACACGCACAGGGGGAACCAAAGGGAAGGGAATCGGACGGACCTTGATCACGAGAGTAGACTCCATATTCACAGTTGCGAGCGAGCCAGCCAGCCAAACTCGAGCGTCCCAGTGATCCGCAGGAGCAGAGCGTAAAGAAAACCCCAACCAAAACCTAAACCCAAATCCCCCCCAGCCGAACCCCGGGCGACGATCACGGCGACCGCACGAAAATCTTCCACAGGAACCGACAGAATCGGCCGCCGATCGGGAATCGGGGGAATCGTTAGCGCCGATCGGAGATCACAACCGCACTCCCCGAAGCGTACCAGTAATCCGCTTCCCTCTCTCTCTCTCTCCTCTCTCTCTAAAAGTACGATGCTGCCATGGCCCTGATCGCTCGCTGTGCGTGGGGCTTATATATTATTTAGTTCACTCGCCTTGTAATTTTTTTGCTTTTTCCTTTTGTTTTTTTCTTTTCTTTTATTTGGTTTTGGCTTGCGGAGAAAGAAGGCCTTATTGACTTTTTTGGCCTTCTGGCGGGTGTCTATATCTTCTTCGCTAAGGAAAAAATGGGGAACGGGAATATATATTATGGTCAATAGGACGAAAATTTTCAAATCGGTAAATATAAACGTCATAAATTTATCCTAAATTAAATTTTTTTATTACATTAACAACTCTAAACTAATATATTTATAATAAATTTATTCTCAATTAGTTTCTATTAAATTATATTGATATTACGAAAAATTACAAACTAGTATACCTCATTAACAATCATGTGTCATCAGACTCGATAATTTGACGGTAAAATTTAACGGAAACTAATTAAGGGTAAATTTATCACGGACATACCGGTTTGGAGAATTAATTTGAGATTTTTCGTAGTATTAAATCTAAATATTAATGGGGATTAGAAAAAGAACGGAGGAAATATAAAAAAAATTGCTGCGAGAGCGGGCCCGCCCACGGAGACGATGGAGGATCCTGCGGCGTCGGTTGTGCCACGTCGGAAGTCTGCGGGACTTGCTGTTGCTGTGGAGCGAAGCGCAGTAGATTACCGGGCTCTGATGCGTAGGCGGGAAGCATCGACTTTGGAGAGGGAGCGACTTGCTCTTCAAGAAATGGCCGTCGAATGGGTACGATGATTGACGGTCGCGATTCCGAGATGGAGATGAAGCGTGACACGTCACGTGTCCTCGCGCTTCTTTCTGTCCACGTAGGATTTTCTGTCCTCGACTTATTAGAGAAGTCGTAGGAAATGATAAAATGGCCAATATCTATAAAAGAAAATAAAAAGGGAAAACAAGTGACATCCAACTTACATTTGTATCAGTTTATTTCGTGAAAAATTTGACATTTTCTGAAAAATATTCTACAGAAAAATGACAATGTTTTGCAATACTTGGCTAAAATCTGAAAATGAAGTAAAAAATATTTTTTTATCATTTGATAAAAAAAAATTTCCTAATTACACGTACATTATTTAGGCATTGGTGACTTGCGCACGGGCAATACATTATTTAGGCATTGGCGACTTGCGCACGGGCAATAGGCAACCCGAGCATTGCCATTGGGGTCATAGGTTCAACCTCGATAGACTTGGCCCCAAGTGCCAAGGCAAGGGAACCAAGGTCCTTGGTGGACTAAGGGACGGGTGTTGTGCACAGGCATTGAGGTCCTAGGCTGGACCGTGATGCACCCGGGCTCAACCTCAATGGAACAGAGCGCAGGTGTTAGGGTCCCGAGTTCAACCTCAATGTTCATAGGCCCAGCTGTGGGGAAGCCGAACACTAGCCCCGATGTCCCAAGCCCACACTTGATGGACTCGATGCCAAGCGTAGGGTCATGGGCATGAGCATCAAGAACTCGGGCCCGGGCATAGGGACACAGGCAGGGTGTCAAGGACCTAGGCATGGCCATTGGGGTCCCAGTTCCACCCTCGATGGGCATGGGCCCAGGGGCAATGGACCCGGAACTGAGCGCACGAATTAGGGCACAAACGCCAAGGTGTTAGGCGTCGAGGTCCCGAGCCCAGCCTCAAAAGACCCACGCCTAGGCTCCAAGGACCCAATCCCGTGCACCGGCACCAAAGTCCTAGGCCTTGGCTTCAGTGGACTTGGGCTCACACGTGAGAGATTCGTGCATAGGCACTAGGATCCCAGGTTTGGGCACTAGGGTCCCGGGCTCAGCCTTGATGGACTCGTACCTAGGCACGGGCATTGGGTCCTACCTCGGCCTTTAAGGACTAGGGCATGGCTTTTATGGATCGGGCCCGGGCTTGATGTCCTCGAGGCACGCACACTGGGGTCTTGGGGCAAGCCTCCGTGAACTTGAGCCCAACCTCAATTGGGCCCAAGCTTGGGCGCTAGGAATCCGGGCACAAGCATCGAGGTCTCAAGCTCAACCTCTATGGACCTAGCCCTAGGGGTGTCAAAACCAAACACAATACCCGAACCGAAACACGAACCGACCCGACCCGAACACGAAATTTTCTTATTGGGTTGGGTTGGGTCTCAACTTGTTTGGGTAACAATAAAAATAATTGGGTATTATTTGGATCTATTGGGCTGGGGTACCCAAGCCCAACCTAAACAATAACTAAAATTCTTAAGATCCCTCCCCCTCCCAGTACTTACTCGGCGAACCGACGAAGTTCACGGAACCTTCGAAATCGTCGCCGTGGAGGAACTTGCAGTTGCTCCCGTTTTTGCAGAAGCCTCTCGCGAAGTACAGGCACGGCCTATACCCGCCCCCGAAGCACGCGTCCTCGCCGCCGCAGCCGAAGCCCACGTCGCTCTCGGAGTAACTCCTCCTGTGCAAATGCGTATCCGCATTGTACCCCATCTCGAAAGCATCGCCTGACTTGGACGAATCGTTGAGGAACGTAAAGTAATCGCCTAGTTGATTGTTATCCTCCATGAAATCGCTCGCACAGCCAGCGTTCACGCCGCCGCTGCTGCTGCTACCGTTCAAGGAAGCGAAATACGACCCAGACGAGCGCTCTCAAAAGGAAGCGAAGGGCCGGAGTTCTCGCCTCGCGACGCCGCGGCGAACCCGGAGAGAAGGGCCCTTCCCGACCTCGTAGTCCCCGCGGGGAGTGATCTGGGGGAGGGCCGAGGCGGCCCGTGGCGCCGGCGGTGCCATGGGCGGCGGGGATGGAAATGGCGGGGCGGCGAGGAGGGGTGGTGGGAGGGTTGGCGGAAGGCGCAGGGCGAGGCGCTCGACGAAAGTCCCATCTGGGTCTTGGCCTTGAGAATGAGGCTGTGCAGGAGGGTCTCCGGGCCGACGACGGGCTAGGAAGTCGACGACGGGCCTCAGCCATTCCACGAATCTCTGAAGAGCTCTCATGGCGGAAGTACTGCCGACGCCTGCTGCAGTGGTGGTTCCCAGGACAACGAGGCCGAAGCCGACGCCTGCGGCGGCGGCGGGCTCGTCGACGACGCGGAGTCCTCCTGCTACGACAGCAACGATGCCGGGACGGTGGGCGCAGAAGGCGATGATGCCGCGGCGGCGGTTGAATCGCTGAGGCCGGGGTGGTAATGCACGGGGTGTTGCTGGGAAGACGATGAATTCAGGATCCGCAACAATGACGTCTCTCTCATTATCTCTATCTCTGAATTCATTGTTTGAAACACAAGACCCGCCCCGACCCGACCCGACATGACCCGGCCCGATCGTGTAGCTTTTATCTTGTTCGGGTCTTGTCTCGGGTCGGGTCGAACACATATGTCCAATATTTGGGTCGGGTCGGGTATCATGAAAATCCGACCCGACCCATTGACACCCCTACCTGGCCCAGACGCCGAGGTCGTGGGCATGAGCTTTGATGTCACGTGCCCCAACGTAGAATTTTCTATCTAGGCGTTAACTCATTTTTCTGATCAATCCGGACACCGAAAAATGAGAAAAAGATTTACGCGAAATAAAACGGAGCCTCGGAAGAAAAAGGAAAATTAAACCGAACAGATTGGAAGTTTAGGCACGCATTTTGAGGCCGAGTGAATATCGAGCAAGAGCAAAAGGCTCTGCATCGAATATCTGCTTCCTAATCTGGGCCTTGGCCCTTCAAGAACTGGAAAAACATGGAGCGTGGCTCCTCAAAACCGTGACTCTTCTTTACCGGGCCCGTCGAACAGGCCCTTTTGAATCTCCCGTCTCGCGTCCCAAATTTCAAGCCGCACCCAGTTCACGTCGCGCTTCTTTCGTTCTTTCTCTTCTCAAGAGAGAACTGCAGTCGAAGCAGAATTTTCAAAATTTCTGCTTTCTTTTTATTTTTATTTTTATTTTTTTTTCAATCCAGCGTTCTTGGGACAAGCAAGACTTGCGGTGTCTGTCCGGACGATGTTGCAGTTCCCGGGGTTCATGACCCAGTTCCCGGAATCGACGAGGATGATTCCGTCGTCGTTCCTGCTGCCGTCGCAGTGGCCTCAGCCCCAGAACGAGGAGCTCCTGCTCGCCCTGGAGGAGTCGGATTTCGACGAAAAGGTGATTCTTTTTCTTGTCTCGATGCGGTCGTTTTCATTCTTGCCTTGTTAATGAGGGGAAGTGCTAGGGAGTTCTTGAAGACCCTTTTGGTTCGGTGGTGATTTTCCGGACCATTCTGACGAGACACCATTTTGGTTTTGTTGTGTTATCAAATTAAGAAGCGGAATTAGAGTTGCTGACAGTGGAGAGAAGCTCGAGGCAGCGCATAACTCTAGTTTGTTCTCTGCGATGTTACGATTGTTGAAGTCTTGTGTCAGCAACACGTCTTTATCTCTGTTTGATGACTGAATTGCTAGAGCTGTGCCCGGATTCGAGCTGCTCTGTGCGCTGATCTGATTTGCTTCTCAATACGGGGTCAAGGATCGAAATGCATCTCGGTAGTCGTTGCAACAAAGACTTGTAATGGGAATTATGCTTTCGGTCTGTTCTACTTGAGTGGAAAAATTAATGCTTGATGCAGAACTGGTGGCATAATGATTGGTTATGAGGAGACATATGCAAAGTAATCGTGATCACGGCTATTCCGTAGAGTTTCAACCATTTGATGAAATCTTTTACATCTCTTTGTGCCATGCCATGTCGGATGGATGGTTCTGTCTTTCATGTGCCTAAGTTGTTGGGTTGTGTAAATACTGAAATGCTCACAGTATTTATTAGTTGTACTTGTAATATTCAATCGACTGAGGAAAGGTATATGAAATTGTGAACAGAGGCATGGTGAAAGGCATTCGTTCTCTTGGTGGCAATACTGAGACAAAAGTTTCTGCTTTGCTTTATGTGAGGAAGGGATGAATATGGTCTTCTTAGGTTCTTTGTTCTAGGCACTTCCTTATTTGATTGTTGAGTGACAAATTTCAGATGGTTTTCTGGCAGCTGCTTTTAATTGCTATTTTGCTTGTTTTCCAAATTGAATGTTGAGTATGGAAGGGTTTAAGGACTTTAAGAGTGCTTAATGATTTCTTTAGCTGTGTTAAGTTATCTGCATCTTCTAGGGAAAACTAGAGTTGAGAGAAGAATGTCGTGGAAATGTATAAATATTCAAATTGGAGCGTGCTAGTGCAGATTGATGAAAAGTGAAATAAAAGAGTACGTATAGTTATAGCTCTGTCGTCACTTCTGAGATCTAGTAATTGGTCCGTTCTTGGTTTAGGTAAAGTCCCATCTTGATGCTACGCTTTGTTCTCTCCTGCTTCGCAGGTGGGCTTCCCTCTTGTAGTGAAGGAATAGGAGGTGTCAAAAAGGCATTGCATTCCCTCTCTAGGCTATGCATGTTTGTTTGTAATTGTTGCCGTTAGACTTGGTGCAATTAAGCTTACATTGCTGGCCTATAAGGACATGCGATGTGGCAATGCACCATGATTGAATATTTTAGTCCCAAGTAACATGCTTGTTCGTAGTTCTTGCCGCTGACTGCTTAACAAGGACACACGATTAACGTTTTGGATTTTGTCATTTTTCTTTCTTATTCGTAATTTACTTGTATGTATATTGTGAACAGTGTAACGAAATCAGAAAGTTGAATAGCAACCTTGTGGTGATCGGGAAAAGTGCTGCTGACATCGATAAAGATGCAGAGGAGGAAGATGCCGATGATGATGACCCGGACAATGCTGATGAGTCTGAAGGTGATGAATTTGAACAGGAAACTGTGTGACATTTCCTTTTGTGTGTGTGTGTGTGTGTGTGTGTGTGTGTGTTTCCCTTCCTCACTACATCAAGAAGAATTTGAGAACTAATGTCAGCTGTGAGTTTACGATGTCCATACTTTTGCTCTGTAATTTTAAGTTGTTCACCCGGAGAGACACCAATGTGATTTTGAAGGAAGGAAAGTGGGAAGTTGTATCCTGGATATCAGTTGAGATTGTTATCTTCTCCTGTCTGAACTGGAGGGACTAGAAATACGAGCTGTGGCCGCATCTACTGACCTTTTCTTGTTGTCATTTCTCCTCTCTCGTTTGCGCTAAACCAGTTTGTATCTTCTTCTACATATCTCGATGGAGAAATTTAGGCCTTCTCTAATATTGTTGTCATTCTACTATTGGTTCTGGTAGTCGGTGAAGTCCATATATTCTCGTTTGTTCACAAAGTGAGAGCTCACATAGTTGCTAGTTTGATTTGTAACCGGTCGAATGACCCTTTCTCTCCTCGTGATTGAATGGATGAATCCTGTGCTGCTGCTATCTCGTCTTGCAAGTTCGAATTGCCAGTTGACAGACTTACGATTCCATAGATAGCTGCTGCATATTTTTTCGTCCGGATTACTGATGGTTTGGATCCCCCTTCTTGTATGAATATGAACTTGGTTATTCTTGTTTCGTGAGGCTTGGGTGGAAGTACCTCATCGCACTTGTCTGTATCATATAGTTAAATCCCGGCTATTCACCGGTTCGGACTGTTCGGTCAGCATCGATAAACTCGTGTGCTGAGGATGATATTTTGGTTGCTGTAGATCGGGGTATATCTTTTGATCGTCGGAGAAGACCCAGTGAAAACTTTTTGGTGTTCACAAATCACAACCACCTATTCGTTGTCTGTTTCTTACAGTCTTAGCACAAGATCGTGGAAACATTTTCTTCTTTGCACGTTTCAATCTCTTGAAGCATGAGAATAAAGATATTGAGCATGTATTTGTTTCGAAAAAAATTTCATGACAAAGGAAAATGTTTTTTTGGAAATTTTGCCGAAAATATATTTTCCTTTTCAGATTGGGAAATTCATTTTTCCAACTTTTTTTTTTGTCTGTCCTACTTTAATTCTCAACTCATTCTCAAACTTTTGCCTCGCCTTTTTACAGAACGTGAGAGTCGAAACCCACATCTGAAACTAAACGTCTCCACCCCTAATCCCCTGAGAAGGTGGGGAATTGACCTCCCCACCTCCCCATTTCCAAGTAGGAAGGGTGGCACCCAAGTGATTCATTTTCCTAACTTTAAGCGCACATATTTTCTTTGATCATAAGTAATTTTCTGTTGATCGATCATTTTCGGCAAAATTAAATGCGTGAAAATTCAGAAAACTAATTTGCGAATTTTTTTTTCACTCGAACAAACACAGTGTGCGTTTGTTTCACGGAAAACGTAATGTTTCTGGAAAATGTTTTCCAGAAATTCATTTTTCAGGAAAATGGTTAATTTTCCTTTGTTTGGTGATTTTTATGGAAAAAGTTTTCTGGTGTTTGGATCTCATTTGGAAAATGATTTCAATCTCATGACTTTATCTTAGGCAAAAAAAAAATCAAATTCTTAAATGATTTTTTTTCTTTTTCTTTTTCCTTCTTCCTCCCTCACCGGTCCGTGCATGTGGCAGGTCATTAACCATCGTCGAGTCTGACGACCAACAAAGGGAGAAAGAAAGAAAAAGAAAAGAAAAATTGAAAAAATAAAAAAAGAAAAGAAAAAAGAAAGATAGAAAAGAAAATATTTTGTTTTTGTTAGAAAAGAAAAGAAAATATTAACAAATTCAAAATAAGCAATTCCGGAAAGTGTTTTCACCTTCTTAGATTAGGGAATTCACTTTGCTAAATTTATGCATGAATGTTTTCCTTGACTGGAAAGTATTTTCGTTTGACTAATTATTTTCAGCGAACCAAACGAGTGAAATTCCGGAAAATGAATTCCCGAAAAATCTCTTCCCTCAAACAAACACACCCTAAGGCTCCGTTCGTTTTACGGAAAATAACTTTCAAGAAAATGTTTTCTAAATCTTTCAATGCTTATTTCACGATAAATAAACTAGCGCGAAACGAAAGGAACCTAAAGATTTGGTTATCTTTCCGAAGACCTAGTATCCATGGCTTGCGCTCCGTTACCTATAGTCCCCTGCCTTTATGATGGCATTTAGGTCAATTTATGTCGCCACCATAAGCCTATTTTTGTACACAAGCCAATTGGACCAAATTTCGATTTAGAATATGCCTTTTCTCGAAAGTGCAGGAAGGTTTCTAGACAAACCATTTTGGACCGAAGTCCGTGTTAGAATATTCACTTTCTCGAGTGCGTTTCTAACTGAATTGCCTAAGTCCATACTCGCTGGCTAATACTTTTAAATTTCTATGGTGATGCCATTTTTTTACGAGGTTTCACGTTTATAATATGCTCATGTAATATAAGCTATCTGTTTTCGCTTAACCGATACAGGAGAAGTCTTAAATAGTTCGAGCAATTTGAGCCAAGATCCCTTTGTCTTTCGCTCCTATTCCGATTGGTAGTCATTATTTTAAATTTAATATCAAATTTAATATTACACGAGCATTGACAAACATCTCATGTGTTTTTAATTCTTTTCTCCTCACAGCAGTCAAGGTGACGGCTCCGCCAACTTTCGGGTGCTTCGATGCGATCTTAAGGGCGCACTTCCTAATATCAATCCGGTGCATTCATAATTAGTCCCAAATCAAGTTTTATAATGATAATTAAGTTCAATTAAAATATTTCCAACCCCCACTTGAAATCGGTTCGAATTGGCTCCGGTTGGCCCCCATTGAATTTCCAACCTATGGTGTCCTGCCCTCTAGTCCAAACGGGCGTTTGATTATCGAATACTCAGACCTTTTCCCCGCCACCTAAATAAGGAAGACAGCATCAAATTTTAATGGTCCAATTTGCCAACTGTCGTGTCCTCCTCACGACCTGCTCACGATCCCCCCCACCCAAATCTACTTTGGGCGCTTTCCCTTCCCCGTTCCTTACTTCACGGTCGAGAATCCCCCCATTAACGTCTTTTCCTTGGGGTGTCAATTAAAACCTTCCCCACATCGCAGCGGCTCGCGCTGCCTTCACGGCTCCTCCTTCCACCACTTCCACCTGTCCCCCGTGGGGCACCAAATCATTAAAGTATTAAGGCTTAATTCGGTTCGATTTAGGGCATATTCCACTTCTTGTTTTAATCAAAGTCTTGATTGATTTGTTTGCGGTTTGACTACGCGTCGGCCCACCACCGCTGCCTTTCGGACAACAAGCATAACCTTCGGCCCCGGAAATTTCGTCGCAAGTGCCAGTGGCCCCCTCCACCACCGGCGGGCCCCCCCCACCACCACCGCCTCTTCAGCTCCGCCCCTCCCGTGCGACCCCCGGCGGCGTTATTCTCCTCCTTCGATGACCTCACTGACCTGCAACACCCACATCAAAAACAGAGCAACCCAAATCAATCACGATACAGAAAATCACTCGAACAGATACGATGAACAGATAAACGACTGAACACACACACGGGGCAAGCTAAATTCAGCGAAGCAAATCGCGGTCGCGAAACTAATGAGGGGGAATGAGAACGTCCGAAATCAACCGCGGCCAGAACGAAGAAGGATTCACGGGCATCACGCGAACGTCTCTAACATATAGCTGGACACGGGGAAATCGGTCGTGTATATGCAGAGGATTCGGTGTTTTTTCATCCATGGCGCATGAGAAAATTTGGTGGGAGGGCGCGAAAACGCATGTCCGAAGTTCCTGAGCCAAAAAAATTTGTTGAAAGGAATCCTGTGGGGGGGAACGAATACTGTACAGACTCATCAGAATCACACTTCTCATTCCGACTGTAATTCTAAAATTCGTTTTCTAAATTTGTGTAATCACTCTATTTTTTTTTATCGTCGTCCTCGTTTCTCTAGATTCTTCTCGAACTTTCCCGTTTCCCGTGTTTCAGTGGCAGTACTTGCAGCCGTGACCGCCGGCCCAAACCCTCCTCGGCTCGACGTAGCAGGGGTAGCAACGCAATGTCTCCGCTCTGACCTGGGAATGTGCCGGCGGCGACCGGCTCCCGGTGCGCCACCGGTCGCCGGCCGCGTGCGTCGGGGAATTGCGGGCGGAGAGGTCGACGCTGGACGCGGAGGACGCGGGCGGGGACACGACCTTGAGCGATTCCGGCGGGGACAGGACGGCTCTGATTTTCTTGGGAGAGGGCGACCCGAGGGAAGCTCTGTCGTACTCCGCGATCAAGTTGGCCAGATCCTCGTCGGACTTCACCGAGATCAGCGTCTCCAGGTCGCCGTCCGGCAGCGCGCACCTCAACACGACGGAGAACCCGCAGAACTCCATCAGCTTCACCATCAGCTCTGCAACCCAAAAAAAAAAAAACACACGGGCACGAACGACTCATCAACACCAATCCTCCGGAACCGAAACCGATCGGAGTCTCTCCGTCGCGACAGACGGCGCTTCATCGAATAAGGACACACACGACGGACGTAAGGACGAACCTGAGTAGGACACGGAGCGGTCGACGGACAGGATCCTGGTGAAGCCGCCGACGTAGCGCAGCTCGCCGTCGGACCTGCGGAGGCCGATCTTGCCGCCGTAGCTGCAGAGGAACTTCAGAGCGCTCGGCGTCTTGCTCGAATCCACTGCAGGTTCCCTCACCATCTTTTTGTACTCGTGAATGTAAGAAGGAGGAGGAGGAGGAAGACGGTTTGAGCTCGTCGGAGTCGGAGGAGGAGCTGGAGGCGGAGGGCTTCAAAACGAAGGGACGAGTCGGGGAGGGTATTTATAGTCGCGGGGGGGGGGGGGGGGTTCTTTGCTTCGGGGCGTAGGTTCGGAGTCGGGTGCGGGTCCGTCACGCGGGTTCAACCGACGAAACGGAATGGACTTTTCCCCCTTTTCTTTTCTTTTCTTTTTTTTTCTCGTTTTACGCCATGTCGGGGCGATATTCGGATATTCCAAGTTTTGGTCGAATGTTAGGGAGGAAAGAGTTGGGGGGGGGGGGGGGGGCCCACCGGGCCCCACTGACGTGGCCCAGTGGCGCCCGACCCTTTCCCTTGAAGCAAAGCCGAGCGTCGGTTTGGTGGCGCCGTCTGGTGCGGCCGACTCCCTTGGCCATAATTTTAGGAAAATTTTAAAAACAAAGGAAAAAAAGAAAAAGAAAAAGAAAAAGAAAAAGGAAATTTTCGGATATTTTTAAATCAAAGAAAATTTTTGACAGCAAGAAAACCCCAAATCGGTATACTCGCGATAAATTTACCCTAAACTAATATTTTAACAACAAAAAACCCCAAACTAGTACATCTGCGACAAATTTACCCTCCGATAATTTTCGTTAGATTGGATTAATACTACAAAAAAAAATCACAAACTAGTACACGTGTGACAAACGGAGGTAAAACCTCAAACCAGTAACCCCGTCAACTGTCACGCGTTATCCAACTCAGCAATTTAACGATAAAATTTAACGGAAATTAATGGAGGGTAAATTTGTCTTGGACGTACCATTTTGGAGTTTTTTGTGATCAAAAAATTAGTTCCGGATAAAATTGTAACGAGAGTACCAGTTTGAGATTTTTCATGGTATTATTCATTTTTATTATCGCATCAAAAACAAAAAAAGGTGTGCCAAAAAATAAAATATATTAGTTCACTGGAATCCCGGCAGACACGTTCCTCGACAGAGCTCTAATTTTGTTGACCCAGGCTCCCAGTTCTCGTCGTGGAAACTTCATGTCTCGATCGGGACAAGATACCGCGAATAAAATAAGACATTACGAAGCGTGTCCTAGATCGGAGAAGGAACCGTTTACCTAGGACGCAGTACGTTGCAAGGCAGGTGGCCCGTAACGGCGGGAAGGAATCGGGGGGGTCGGTCCCGCTAAGGTACATTTGACTAGGAGCTGGATGGCATATTCTTTTAGATTCCCAAAGTTTCGGTCGGTCCAACACTCCCAATGACAAGGAAACACATACGAGCGAGAACGGGGGCTTCCTTGGAAAAAACAGTAGCGTGTTCTTCGAGGTTTGAAGCTTTTCATATTGGAAAAGCGAACTAGTAGGGAATTTGGCTTTTTTTTGGAGGGTCGTATTAACACGGATCGCGCTACATCCGTAAAATGCGCGTAGCAAGAGTATGTAATTTTCAAAATATCGATGGTACATGTCATGATGAACGTCGTGCTCAATTTGATGACCTGACAATGTTTGTTTTTCTTTCTGTCTCGCTTATCTTTTCTATGTACATATGTGTGCGGTACTGACGGAGATCGAATTCTGGACTTAATACTTTCTGGTCCCGCTCTCCAATCTCTTTACCAGTAGAGCTGGTGTTCGTGGTGGCCTAACAATGTGCTAAAGGGTGCTTTTTTATAGATATTTTTGTTTTTATCAGTGTAATTTTCAGTCGGTTTCGGTGACTTAGTCAACATTCTAGGTTCATACGGAGCTGCGAAAGCTCTTCGTCAAATGGCGTGCGTTGCCATGGGGCCAAGGCATTTGCAAAGACTGTTTACTTTTTTTTGGGTTTGACTTGGAGGTCTTCCAAGTCTCGAAGCACATGCTTCGCCGAAACGTTCGACTTCGGCTGACCGGGATTCGCGTTCGTATGGACCTAGTCGGGGGCGACATGCAGGTGAACGGATCTGGGTTCCGGTACGATCGCGCGACGTGGGAAGATGCTGGCCCGCTCGATATTTTCGGGGTGCGTGCGCGGACGAATGAGGGGGTATGGGGGACACGTGGAGGCCTGTCCGGGGCATCAGTTTGGACCGTAGCTTGAGATTCTACTTCTGGGTTCAGTCCACATCGAGCCTAGTGCTAACGTACAGGATCAATGGGCGTCATCCAGTGGCACTGGCTTGTTCAGAATTCATATCTGGTGTCTCTTTCTCCTACCGAGAAACGGACGATAACGGGCAGATTCCTCACGTATGGCCCAGGTTGAGGATGATGAAGATGACGGGATTGGCGCTGTCGACCATTGGAATGACATGACGTGCATTCCCTCGATATTCCAATCCGACGTTTCGGTTCGCGCTAGTGGATTCAAATGGAATGGGAACGCGTGGTCCCCGTTCGCTCGCGAGGCATTTCTGGTCCTGGTGGATCCTCCCTGTGCTCCCACTTTTATGGGTGAGCAGATGATAATAGGATTCTTGACAGACCTTATCAAATATTTTAATGACTACCCTTAACCAAATACGTCTAACAAGAGAATTTGATCATGACTGGAGCTTCCTAATGAGGCCGCGTAGCGCAGAAAGAGCCGGAGTTGATTGGTTCTTGATTAGTGTACAGGGAATGCAATCAGCTTGTGCTGTTGAATTTAAGACTCAGAAAGGCCTGATAGATGGAAATGAACTTGAGAAGTTGGCTCTTCTCGTATGCACTCATACAAGTTAAGATGATGTCAATACATCTGTACAAGCTGGAACACTAAGCTGGATCCCTACACTTGCATCACAGTTCTCTTAGGAACCGATAATCTCAATCTGTTCCGACTTTTGATTAGAGCGTGAAGTTGAGGGAATGGAAAGTGAATTTGGATCTCCTCTTAGCCCCGCAACCTCGACCAATTTGCTGCAGTGATTTGGCTACCGACTCTTTCATCGATTCGGGACCACACACCAAGACTCCGAAATCGGATCCTCCGGTTTCGTTTGGAAACTTGGTAAAGATATCTGTTGAAGTTAATGATGTCCAAGGTTAAGGCACGTGGTCTTCCGAGTTTGAAGGTCCTTGATCAAACGTAAATAGGTCGATTATCAAGAAGTAAGGAGATACGAGTGCATGAAACTGAAAAATTACCTTGGAAATTAGGCCTGCCTCCATAATGGACTTCGTGTTCCTGAAGAGGGTCATTTGGCTCTGTCGAACTTGGCTCCGTGAAACCGCCTGCTTTTTTGGGAGACGTCGGAGGAACTGCTTTCTTAATTCTTTTCCATCTCAGCATAAGCGCCACGGTCATGCTGACTACAACGGATATGACAAAACAAGAAACGAGAATAAGATCAACCACCCAAGATGGGCTTTTTGTTTGGCTGTCCGCACCCTTAGGCTTGAGGGTGCCGGCTTTCTTTTCCGATGGTACAAAAATGTGGTTGAAACATATGAGGAGAACAAAGAACAGAATCGATGCAATTCCAAGTATTGCAGCTAGTACAGTTGGCTTATCAAACCCGTGGACTGCATAACTTGTAGCTTTTGCATCGAAATGCACAATCTGCCCTTGAGATAGCGCATCTTGAAGGACTCTTGCGGCTGCATCTGGCTGCTCCTCCCGGGTCACGTAAACCTTCAGTTTCAGATGCAATTTCCCCAAAGACTGATTGCGAAGTATATGCGAAATCGAGCTCAACAGGGACATTTCCTGGGATCTCTTTACAACGTGAATGAGTTGAATCTTTTCAGGGAATTTGTATCGGCTGCTTCCTTGGGCCGACACAATCTCCTGCAAAATGCTCAGATACGGCGTTATCCCGATTCCCCCGGCTATCAGGAGCATACTGTCATATCTGCAGAAAGTATGTTTCGCTTTCAGTACTCGGGAAATTCGTAAGCATGTAGTTAGCAGTTAGCACATGAAAAAGATCACTACCAAGGCTTTTGAGCCAACCTGAGGAAATCAACAGTGGAAGGCCCATATGGACCTTCAATTGCCACCCGTATGCACTCTGTCCGATGAGTATCTGAATTTAGCTCCTCGGTTATCAAACGACAGAGGGAACTTGTCCACCATCCTTCGCATTTGATCATCAACGACATCGTGTCCTCCTGAACGTTGGAGCTGGAAGTTATGCTGAAGGCATGCCACTGAAGTTTGGAAATTCTCGGAACATTCATAAAAACCACACTAGTCGGAGAGTATTTCAGTTCTGCAAGTAATAATAAGTTAAATAGCCTGCTTTAAAGAAACTTAAACTGTGATGATGTGCATATATTCGGAGTGCTAAACAGGAGCAAAGTTGGATTTACTCGGGTCCTTTGGCAGGGTAAGCTCGATAGCTTCACAAGGCAAGACTTTCGCTGAAAGAAGGCAAGTGTACGGTCTTGATTGTATGATCCTGAGCAGCTTGTCCAGGCCAAACAAAAAGATTCCAGGAAACACCATGTAGAAATGTCTATCCCCAGCATGAAACAAGTAAAACAATATGAACACTGTGTACAAATGGTGCGTGTAATAGAAAATTTCGAATTGCTTTCTCCTGATAAAAGGAAGAGACGTGATCCAAATAACAATCCCCAATACAAGAGCGATCTCTCCGGCGAGGTATATACGGCCCGTCTTTTGCCATTTCCATACCTGCTTATTAAAAAAGAGTGAGTGCGGTGGAAATCCAATTGTTGTTGCCGGGCATAATGCTGTTACTTCAACTGAGCCGAAAGAAAATTAAAGATCACCTCATCCTGGATTACATGGCTGACCCCCCAGATGAGCAAGGTGCTTGCACCGTGGAAAGTAGCGAAAAGTATCATCGCGGTGCCGAGCCACGTATGGTATCTCACAGAAGCTTCGAACTGGATGCCTAGCAAGCGAAGCACGGGCATGACCCGCAAAATAGGCAAGAAAAGCAGAGCCAAGGAGGCTTCTGCTAGTAGCCCAAACCGAGTTGCTACTCTCAGGTACTTCAGTTGCCATCTGAAATAAAGCCATTACTAGTTAGCGCATATTTAAACACATAACTACTTTGGTTTAAGTAGCGATTGCTTGCACTCACATGCTCAGTTTAAGTGATTTAATTGGCATCAGATGCTCGAAGTCATGAGAGATGCGGCAGTAGAAAGTCCATGCCAGGAAAATAACGAACATGAGAATTCCCAGGATCTCTACTACTGATAGGATACCCACAAGGCTGTTCACTATGATTGGATAGGAGAGAGCCGATACCGAAGTCTTCCTTTGCCTACTGCCAAATATTAATAGGAAAAGAGAATGGTTTGACACTCCATACAGTGAACAGATATATTAATTAACCATCCAACTTAAGCTTTCTACCACCTGCTTATCGCGCTGCTCGCTGTATCACTCAGGTACAGGGATCCAATAATGGCAAGAGCAATGATAGGAAAGGTGTAGACAGCGAAATTGAGACCTGAAAATAGAGGGAACACAAAATTACTCGTCCTACAATGATTTGGATGTGTGATCAATACGACTCGCTCTTTGTTTGTGTTTCTGTCAATAAGAAATGATTGGTGCAGCTTCAATTTTCGAACCTAGTACCAGTAATCGAACCCTATGAACTATGGTATTAAAGTGGAAGAGGCTGCTTTCAGCTATGACTCTAGCCTCTAGGTTAGATGTAAAAGACAATAGGGTAATACCGTAATAGCCAAAAACCGTGCCGCGAGCACTATCCTCGGCTCCCTTCCATTTCCTCGTCCACATTTCCGTGGGCTTGAGGATCCAAAGGGCAACCCAACCGGCAAACACCGAGATCATCAGTGCCTTTAGGAGAGCGAGAACTGTTGCTCTTGCCATCATGACCATCTTCCGAGTGGCTTACTCTGTTCGCTCGAGGCACGGAGCGGTGGCTGTCTCTTTATAGCGAAAATCTAATAGAGACATCCTCCAGGGGATGATACAGTTACGATGATTTGTGGCTTAGCCCCACCGCGACTCAAGAGTGGCCTATCACTTCCGGAGCCACTTCAACATAGTTGGAAGAATGTATCATGATCTTCAAATCTAAAGCGCTGAGATATGTATCATATAGCGACGCCTGCATCACAGTAGAATATTCTGGCCCTTCATCACTACCAAATCGATCCAATAAGGAGAAAAAGTAGGTGGGCCAGTTCTCTCGTGGGGTGGACTGTGGTGAGGATGATGATTGAGAAAGTTTTCCTGTTTTTGTAGATACGAACTTCGGATCTGTGTCAATTCCTGTCTATTGCGAGATCAGTTCAGTGACATTGTTCATGCCTTTTGCTCTCTGTATTAATGTGGTCCAATACTTAGTTAGTGGACTAAATGGTCCCACTTTCCACTACTCCTTCCCACGTCTTTCTTGCTTATCCTCGTGATTTTGACTCTTCTCTTTGGGTTGGAATGAAAGTGGGAACCCAAGAATTTAGCTATAACCGGTACACAGATTTCAAATGAATAGATTGATGGGATCGAAAGTTATTTGCCTTTGCTGTTGATATTGCTGTTGATATCAAGATGGCTATCTAAATACCCAGATCACATTGAGAGACTTTTTTTTTATTTTCTCAAAACACAGACATTATCAATGGAATTTGTTTGTCAACAGCAGAAGAAAAGAGCTTCAGTTCATTAATCAGAAGGCAAGAACTGATTTCTAACACAGAGAGAGAGAGAGAGTAGAATAAATAGATTGATGTTCTGTGAGCCATTCTCGTTCTCTCAAAGAGTGATGATGGCACTGGATCAAGTGTTATCCTTTTACTTCGGAGTGTGCTCTCTGCTCGCTCATCAGAGGAAAACTTTTTTCCTTTTCTGGCACAAAATTGAATTCCGAAGTGTGGTGTGGGTCAAGAACAGGAATGCAACCATGTGGATTCCTAGGAGTTAGCACTTTGTCAGACAAACTGGGTGAGTGACCATGTCTCCCCGATGCAACCAGTTGGTTCCAAGAACCGAATCTTCCAGGTTTAAGTTTTGACCAGACAGCAGAAAGGAGAGAGTTTGTCTACTTGCTTTCGGTAAAAAACAAAAGGAGTCCAGTGCGTTCCTGCTCGAAAAGCACTCGAATCAGCTGAGAGGTTGATAAAAATTGGAATCCACGAGCAGGAAACCCACAAAAAGCAATCTCTCCAACTCCTATTGAATTTGAAACACCCAGAATCCATCAAACGGATTCGAGGCATCATCCTTCAACTTTGAGATATGCCTCGGATTCTAGAATGCTAGTTATCGAAATTGCAATCTCCATACCTTGGCTACTAATAACGGGGTGATCAAGACTCGTTGAACACCCAATTAATCTTCACCGGACACGACAGTCTCCCGTCCTGCATACATATATATCACCTGATAATTACCGACATAGATATCTATGCTCCTCGGGCGGCCCCAACTCATAGCTGCAACCCCATGTAAGGAAAGGAAAGTCCTTCACCGGTGATATAATAAATCTGTAGCTAGAACTAGAAGTCCCATACCAACGATTCCTTATGCATCTGTCTTCCCAGTTTCATCCTCCTTCAATTAGAACCAAGTGCTAAAAGCGACGATGCAAAAACAAAGGCCCGGACCAAATTGGGCGACACCGTTACCAAAGAACTTCGGCTCATCATAAGATCCAATTCCAAATTGGTCCAGCCACGTCCTCGAGCCTCTCCACCCAAAAAAGTCCCAAACTCATTTAAATATAAAAGCCATGCTTTTTATATTTGAATAGTAAAAGAAAAAAGGGCTCCCAAAAGATTTGTGGAGTTCCAATTCTTGTCTGTCTGTTCCAATTCATCAAGTTGCAAACGGGTAATTAGGGCAAATTGCATATCCGCCCCCAAGCTTTCAGGATCGTTGCACATTGCCCCCTGAAGTTTCGATTTTTGCAATTTACCCCTAAATTTCGGAAGTCGGTTGCAGTGTGTCCCCTGGCGTTGACTTTGAGTAAATTTTGCTATCACAACCGATTTCACAAAGTCGAGGGGCAAAATTGCAAAAATTAAAACATTAGAGGGCAACTTGCCGAGATCCCAAAAAAGTTAGGAGGGGGGGAATTTAGTTCTCGATCGAGACTACCACTCAAAACCAATTAAGTTCTCCCCTTAGGATTCCCTCCGTCGAGTTAGACACACAACTTTTGTGAAAAGTTAAAGCATGCTTTTGGATCTTTTCATGGCTTCCTCTTTGGTTTCACCATGCCTTCTTTCTATAGCCATGTATGGAGATGTAACAATTTTGATTTTTATTGAGAAAGTCAAAAGGTTACTTTATGATTTTCACAAATTGGACCGTACCCCTTTTTCTCTGTTCGGGTATTGGGCGCCCATCAGATTAATGTGTTTGCCTTTTGACTCGGGAGTCGTTTGCACGAAAAAGGCTTTTCATGAGTTTGGGGAAGCATAGTAGTCAAAGCAGCTCAACATCGTTTATTGAGCTAGAGTGGAATATGAGGTGCCATCTTTATCCCCATCAAGAGATACATGTGCATGTGCCTAACTATAGGGCCATTCCATATCCTCACCTTTTTCAAAAGCACGTTGATGATCGATAGACATCCGATTTTTCTCCATTGGTGGCTCTGGATCCGACAGACGTAAGATTGGACTCCGCACAAGCTCGAGCGTTCCTGTGTCATCCGATATGTGAGGCAGATCACTTGTGCATCTCGAGTGACACGTCTAATCGCGCGCAACATATGTGATCTTTTTCCTATAAGCCTGATTCGTTATTGTTTGACCGATTTTCTAAACTTATTCCCAGTGAAAAAATTGAAAAAAAAAAACTCATAAGCCAAATTATTAGATAGGAATTTTGGCGAGAGAAAAAATAAAAAAATTATTAGGTCATCTTGAACCCTTCTCTCTCTCCCCAAAAGTTAGCTAAAAGAGTAAAGCTTTTCCTGACACTTATGAACCGACCACCAGCTCTAATAACCTCCCCTCACAAGACTGTGTAAGCTGGGTCGGAGCAGTAATAATCAATATTTTCTGTGTAACTGTGGAGTATAAACTTGTTAGTAAGTTTTGATACATGTGTTTGGTGATATTGGGCCTCTCTCACCCGTGAAACTAGCTCAAAATGTGAGAATTTTTCTCACATTTATAAACTTACCATCACACCTAAATTATTAGCTGGTTGCATGTTAATGCACTGAGCCTGAGAAAACAAGGAAACAAGACCCAAACTATATAAACTTTCCAATTAGTAGAAAAGACTTTGGCCAAAGAAAAAACATATGAAGAGAAGACAAAAAAATATAAACAAAATATTTTGGGACTTTGGCCAGGTCTATTCTAGTCTACAGCTGAACCCAAAGCCTGCAAAAACTAGACAAAAGAGAATCTGACCATCCCTCTCTCTCTCTCTCTCACCTTTCGTGCGCATTGAGAGCAACGACTCTTCCCTTGTATGACACCAAGTCTACTCTCTCTTTAATTGTTATCCACGCCTCTCACACTTCATCATCTCGGCCCCTTCTTCTCCTTCTTTTACCCTTTTTCTCTAGTGGCCATTGCTCCATTCGGGGAGAGAGAGAGAGGGGCACGGGGAGAGACAGAATGGAGGTAGAAGATGATTGCTTGCAGGGTGAGACGGTGCAGTATTGCACCTCAAGAACAATGGTGTCCCCAGAAATAGTGGAGATTGGCGAGGAGAGCAGAAGCGTGGACGTGGGCAGCAACGACGTGTACGTGGCCGTCGGGAGAGACGACATGGATGTTGTCAAATGGGCTCTTGATCACCACGTTGTCTCGTCGGCTCCTCATCATGCTCGCGTCTTCCTTGTTCATATCTTCCCCCCTGTCGCTTACATTCCCACACCAGGTGACATCTGGTTAACATTACGCTCGTTCTGGGATTCTGAGTCTCTCCTGTGATGGGTCTTGCTCTAAGCATTGATGGGTCGTCATTTTTCTTTCTTAAAGATGGTTATTTTTTGTGTACCACCCAGAAAAATTGAATCTTTTCGTCGAGGGCATTCTTCAAAGCGGATGAAAATTTGCTCAGAGTCCCAAGGTCTTGATGACCTTTCTCACTGTCCTTTGTCTACACAAAAGTTTAGGCACTTGAAGAAACGATACATCATTGATACTTCTTGGTTGCTTCTTTACATAAAATTTCGTTCGATTTTCTCGTTTATGTGTCGTTTAAGGAAAAGCAATCATTTTTAAGGAAGGGAAAGTTCTTAGAAAGGAAATAAGTTGCTTCTCCTAGTCCCTTCAAGTTCATTACATAGGTTTTACCATATCCGCATTGGTTGTCCGGAAACAATTTTGTTTATTCCAAGTCGTTCCGATTTGAGGGTAACCAAGACTGGCAATGTGGAATTTGGGGCATCAGGTGAAACAAAAGCATATTCCAATCGGACCAACAAACAGTTGAATTGACAGACACACTTAGATAGTTGGAACTGTTTCTGTACTCATTAAAGCGTCGATCCGAAACTGCTTGCGTCTGTCTATTGTAAATGCTTGTTGTTTTTGGATATACTGTTCAATTTGATGCTAAGCAGGAATTTTTTCTTCTTGAATTCACGTCGATTTACTTCCCCTGCTCAAGTTTTTTTGTCCTTTGAATTGTCTAAACGGAACTTCAGTTGGAAGATTATCGAGGAGCCAACTGAGCCAAGACCAAGTGAGAGTTTACCTGAATGAAGAGAGTAACAGGAGAAGGAACCTCCTGCAGAAGTACATTCGCCTGTGCGCCGATGCCAAGGTATATCTCCGAACTCTTATTGTCATCTCATACCACCAGCGCTGTCACATTGCAAAGTCCTGACTACTGAATTTAGATTGCACATTACAGGTGACTGTGGACTCGATGCTTATTGAGCACGGAAACATTGCAAAAGCTATTCTCGATTTAATCCCTGTTGTTAATATTACCAAGCTAGTTATTGGAACCAAACGTGCGCCTTACTCAAGGTGAGGTTATCGCCGATTTCCCGAGAATCTGAGAAGGGATTTTGATTTTCGGTTCATTTTTTAATTCACTTCAAACAAATAGTTAATTGCCTTGACATTTTCCCATCTTAAGGCGATTGACAAAGAAATTGGCAAAAGGAGAATTTGTGAAAAAGCATGCCCCAGATTATTGTGAGGTCACTGTTGTTTACGATGGCCAGAAGGTCTCAGACAACGAGAGAGCGAGAGAGCTGAATCGTCCAAACGAGGTGTCGAGTTCATCGGGAAAAGAAGTTGCTCGCCACTCCGAAAGGAACTTTTTTGAGTGCATGTGCTTTTCAGGCAAGTTCAACTGATCAACATAGTTGCATTAACAATAGAAATTGACATGTATATTTGATCTACCTGCCACATCCAACAAGGAATGCTGTCGTTGTAAGCTATTTCATGATTAGAAACGCACATTTGGAGCTTTTCAGCTTGTATGTAACTACGTATGCACACTTCGGGTGGAGTACGTTTAGGAGTCTTGAACTACAGTGTTTCTTCAGACATCCAAAAAAACTTGACCATATCAAAACTGAACTACGGAAAAACTTGACCATAGCCCAGCGCCTTGGTTTATCATTCTTCTCTTGTTGGATATGTTTTTCTCTTATCAGGTGTTAAATCAGATAGTTTCATCCATAAACTTCACTATCCAGGATATGTAATATGTGAGGGTGATCTGGATTTGTGATACTAAGAAAGCCGGCCAATGAAATTAGGCAGACACGCATGTAGGCATGAGCACATCCCTGCTCTATTTGTTTTGAAAAATCTTTGAAAAGTTGGCCATTGTACTAGAAGTTTACGCAGATTTGCATGCAGCATGTAGGACGAAAATCGAAGAAATTCAAGCGTGTATCAGACCTAGGAAGGATTGCCGTAAAAACACAGCGAAACACAAACAGCATCACCACGATGATCAACAATCCAAGTAAGAGCGATCGAGAAAATGGTCTTCAAGCCGAGGGAGGGACCTTCCTACACACATGTTTCACACGATAATTGATCTGTTCAGCGCATGAGACGGGGAATGCAGATGAACAACAATAATACGATGGCGCAGACATAGTCGACTTCTCATGACAGAAAGCCAAAACGGAACTCAGATACTAGTGTAACCCAATGAGATATCAGAGGAAATTTGTAATAGCACACAGCCTCTAGTTTTGAGTAGAAGAGGCTGTCTAGAACCCACTATTCCGTCTGAAGAAAAAGTTCATTAGATGTGATGTTCAGCATCAGGCTGAAGAAGACACATACACAAGGCAGTACAAGCCCCTTTTCTTATCCTTTTTCTTTTTTTTTGTGAGAGAGAGAGAGATGGGGGGGTTCTACAAGATTACAAGCTTTTGGATGAGAGGCAGACGAAGAAAAACAGTTTACAGCCCTTGAAATTGCCTTTCCTTGTCATCTCCAAAAGTTGATTCTGAAAGCTACTGGAAAGAACCTCATTTCCCACTTTTTTCATGAGTCTTGTTCTTTTATTTTTTTTTCCCTTTCAAGCACCACTTTCGCCATTTCTCAAACCCTTCTCTGTATGAGTGTATCTGAAGTTGCACAAGATTTCCTCATAGTAAGAACATGCGGATCAATAACATAACATGTACAAACGTAGCAGTGGATGCGGAGGACTTGTCCTTCAATTTCTTTTTGCCTTCTGAGAGAATTTTCCTTTTCTCCCTACTTGTCCTTGATGGGACAGACTGTTACATGCTGCGTGTTTATACGCTACTTCCCTGCATAGTCATGAACGGCTATAGTTTGGTCCAAAGAGAGTTTGGTTTCAACTATCAAGCCGAATTTTTAGGCACGAGTTAGGCCTTCCTCTGTAGGCACAGCAAATAAATCTACCCAAAAAGAGATCTCTTGAAAATCCAATGAACATTGCAGCACGATTACTTTCGCAATGGAACTTAAATTTCCCTTCTTTTTCCTACCGAAGATAATAAAATCCAACTGATAAACCCTTCATTTACTTTCCGGTTTGATTTCTGAAATCACCGTTTTTTTTTTGCGAGACATAACTTTATGAATCAGATAATCTCGAAATCAAGTACGTTAGGTGCCTCATTAGCGTCAAAACCATTCACACTCAATGAATAAGCGCTCAGGGTGCATTTGTATCACATGAAAATGAATGATCCGGAAAACGTATTCCTGAAAATGACTGCCGTATCGCTTACAAAAAAGAATAAGCGAAAGATATGTCCATCATCCATGAAAATGAAAATGAATATGTTTAGACACAACATTTTCCATTAACTAATCATTTCAAGTGATACAAGTGATCATTTTTAAGAAATTTTTTTTTCAAATCATCCATTTCCCGCGAAACAAACGGATCATCGTAATCGAATGATGACCTCGACCTTCGGATTATTTGCATCATGTCATCATGTGAAGAAAAAATTGGCATAAAATATGGGCCAACACCAGATGAACCCAATCTATTGTAGAAATTGTCCACAAGCCCAATCTCATCATGCAAGGCCCAAGCCCATCATCCCTCCAAGGGCAAATCAGTAAATCCGGACCCCTCATCCTCAACCTCCTCAAAAACCCTAGCTCCCCCCCTTCCCCCCTCATTCCTCGCCTCTCGCCGCCCGCCCGCCTGCCCGCACCGCCGCTTCCCGTCCCCCGACCCCTTCTTCCGCAGGGAGAGAGATGACCACCCGATTCAAGAAGAACCGGAAGAAGCGCGGCCACGTGAGCGCCGGCCACGGCCGCATCGGGAAGCACCGGAAGCACCCCGGCGGCCGCGGGAACGCCGGGGGGATGCACCACCACCGCATCCTCTTCGACAAGTACCACCCGGGCTACTTCGGCAAGGTCGGCATGCGGTACTTCCACAAGCTCCGCAACAAGTTCTACTCCCCCATCGTCAACGTCGAGAAGCTCTGGTCCCTCGTCCCCCAGGACGTGAAGGACAAGGCCTCCGAGGACAGCGCGCCCGTGATCGACGTGACCCAGTTCGGGTACTTCAAGGTCCTGGGCAAGGGGGTGCTGCCGGGGAAGCAGCCGGTCGTGGTGAAGGCGAAGCTGATCTCGAAGATCGCGGAGAAGAAGATCAAGGAGGCCGGTGGTGCGGTTGTGCTCACTGCTTAGGTGAATCAAAGTTTGTTCCTTTTCTTCTTTTTAGTGCTGATTTTGTTGGTTTTGGTTACCGAAGTTGTGTTATTGTTTTTGGGGAATAGTTGTATCAGATGAGAATGGGGCGTTATTGTCACATTGCTTGTCGAATGCTGATAAATTTTGAGCACGGTGTCTTTCTTGGTCAATGGTTTGATCTGTTTCATGGAGGCAAATGGTAACTTTTCTTTTGGATTCGTTGGTGTTCCTAGTGTTTTACTTCGTTGTTGTTGTTGTTTGTCTTTTGAGGAATTATTAGGAAAATCCGGGTCGCAGTTCCTCATCTAGCCCGGTGTGTGAACTTCACTTGTGCGAAATCCGCCATTATATGAGAGAAAAGCCTGCGCTTAATGCCTATTGTGGATGATTGAAGTAATTTGGGCATTTTATGAAAATTGTGGATGAAACTATTGTTGCATTGGATGTATTGTAACTGCTGGTCGCTAGCTAGCGAGTTGCCGTGGTCAGCAAAGTCGGTGATCATTCGCGCACGATGCTTCCTCCTCAATGTAAATGGTTCAGACAGATTTGGCCAAAGGATGTTCTTTGGAAATGTTTTTCTGTATGGCACGAATCCTGTGTTCTACTTGCTGTGAAATACCTAGGAAAAACTCAAGTAAAAGGATTACGTTTGCTTTGGATGTATTCACAGTGTAGTGGAAGTTTAAACCAGAATTTACCTTCCCTTTTGGGATTGATGATTTTGAAGGCATTTCACCCTTGTGTGGTTGGAATTAGCTTAAAAGATGAGGACATGGACAGGACGAGAGAGCTTAGTATCTCGGAAGATGAGTAAAGTTATTTGTGGCAAAGGATTTTAAACTATGATTTGTATTTGTTAGAGAGTACTTAGAAATGCCAATCCTTGCATTCTCATCACGACGTTGTCGAGTTGCAGAGTGCGCCGCCGCACTCACTATGGCACATGCTTCTCCTATGACTTGAACAGTTCGGTAAAACTTGTTTAAAATGATACCACCTGGATCGTGAAGGAGCTGAGTGCTGACGCAAAGTCTATGCATGACAGACCAATCAACTGAGAACTCTGGGGCTATACCTTGAGCGTTCTGGTATTGTGTGCTTCCATGTCGATCATCAACAGCTACATGCCTTTACTTTCGAACTGAACTCCACAACCAACTTCTCTAGGTATTGTCACCTAGAGTTACCTCGTGTGCGACAGTTGATTCTTTGACGGACACGCACCTTTTCCAAGTTCTCTATGTGCCACTGTTTGTTTGTCATCCAACAATAGCTATTGGCTTCGACCGACTGTCAATCAACTGGATGAACCTCTGCTGGTCCTCCTTATGTTAATCGGCCACTCCTTCTGGCTCCTAAGAGTTCCTTTGGTTTTTCTTTCCAAACTCGCCAGCATCTTTCATAATACCTTTAAGACACCATCAAGTTTTGTATTCACTGGCGATGTCACTTGAAAACTTTTTAACTACGAAATCTCTACAGTATGAAAGGACAATGACTAATCTCTCTGTATTAGGGTACGTGTTTTTGAGTCATTTCGTTGGGAAAGTTTCATTCAGAAGACAGGTGACTTGCAATGAAAGCGAGGCTGCTCTAGTTTTATATCATTACTTCGGTATACGGAGTTGGAGGTTCTTGTAGCAGTTGACTCGTCCATGTAATTGGAGGATCACCAGCCCTGGTCATGTGCCTATTCCATGTAAATTAACTTTCCGCTCTCGGTGGGGTTCATTGGCTTGGTGAGTGGAGAAACTCCTGCGTACGTCCCAATGTGTGCAAACGGGAAGGTTCTCTTCGAGATCACTGAAAGGTTCTCTTTGTCTGACCAAAAAAAGAAAAAAAGGAAAGGTTCTCTTTGAGATCACCGGAAGGTTGTATCAACTTTTGAGGAGAAAAGTACATCAGAGTCTTAATATTAGTGTACAGTCTCAACGAGTCTTAATTCTTTCGATTGACACAATAAATCTCAACCCTTACTCGCCCCATTTGGTTTAGCATTCTCAAGGGACTTTTGACCTCGAAAGCCAATGCTGGAGCGTTTGGCAAGCATTTCCAATAGGCTTTCGGCCGAAAGCCAGCATTGGGAATGCTCAAAGCTCAAAACTTGTCCGGACCAGCTTTGAGCTTTTAGTATTTACCAAATGCTAAAACCAATTTTTTTTATTTCAAACTACCTTAACTTATTTTTTAATATTCTGGTTTTGCCCCTTTGTTACTGTTCATCTTCTTTGCGCTTCGGTGAGGGCCGACGACACCGGATTCGGACAGCGAAGGACAAGGTGGTCGTTGCCAAATCTGGCTCGCTGGCGGCCGTAGGCCTTCGCCGGCTCCGGCGAAGGGTAAGGTTTTTTTTTTAATAAAAAAGAAAATCCCAAAGCCCTTTACAAAAAAAAAATTAGCCAAATACTATTTGGGCCAAAGTAGTTTCACAATTTTTTTTTTATCAAACGCCATTTGTATTTCTCCAAATGGTTTTAACCTAAAGGTATTTGCATTCTCCAAAAACTCTTTTGCAAAGTTGAACCAAATGGGTCCATTGAAAGGGCAATAGCATTTCAGTTAGTACAACGAAGCTTCTTCACGTGAGGACTGCTATGTATGCGATTTCCACTTGCTAAAGATGCAGTCCAATGCCCAAAGGAGGTTATCGCACTTACTGAAAATGATTTGGAACTCTATTTTACATATCGACAGTCTTAGGATTCGAATGCATTTTATACATAAAGTGCAGGATTTTGGATGAGAACCTTCCCGTTTTTAATCTTTCGTTGGTTCAGGCGTATGTGTGTCGGCAGATATTGTTCTTGTGGAAGGTTCTGAAAAGCGAAAGAGTAGTGAAAAATCATGATTTAGAATATCATCATGGTTGTTAACCATGGCATGATGAAAGTTGACAGCGGACAAGTTCGAAAGCAACCACCATGACAATAGCACTCTAACCGCAAGATGCCTCGCGTAAAAGCAGAAAGGTGAAGACCCCGAAAGTTACAATCATGTAAAATTTTGGGGGGGAGGGAACAAAAAAGTACTATTGCAACGCCGTCGCGATCTAGGGGGCACAACATATTATCTCACAATGCTTGGAAAAATAACACATCATCTCATTCGTTACAATATAGGAAGAATACCCTGCAACAGACATGAACTGACATGTTCATATCGGCTCTCGGAAGATATCGAAATGTGCCTGTAATATCTGCTCATCTGACAGTGACATTGAGGGGTGATCGCTATGGAAATCTACCGCAGCGTGAGCATGAAGGTGTTCCTCTTGCCATGACATTGACTTGAGTTCTTCAGACCCTGTCACGTTTACCTGAAACTGATACAGAGGGTCCAACTCCTTGTCATTGACCCAGGGTAAATCTTCGTTTTCCGCCGCAGTGTTCAGCCGGAACTCGGCATCGTTGCTGATGTTGTTTGAGCTGTTGCTGCAATATTTCTTCGCTTCGTGGAAGAACAAACAGCTCATTCTGGAGACCAGGTTGTCAGCTGTGTTCTTGTTCCCATGTTCAAAATCCATTGAGCTCGACGCTGATGAGAACGGAGCGGCATTCATCGCAAAGTATCCTGGATCGACCAGTCTCGATTTGGCACCATGGCGGACAGGGGTGATGGCAGTATGGAATTCTAAGGAGGATGCAGGATCAAACAGTGCCCTGTTGAGGTAGACCTCTCCAATTGATGATTCCATTGGTCCACCATGCATACCATCCATAGGAAATGCTGGTTCTTTTGCTCTTAGGCCTGATATATCTCGACTTCCCTTGAACTCCTGCAGCGCTTGCGCTGCCTCAATCTCTAGGCAATTCTCAGACTTGCTTTTTAATTCTCTAAGTGGCTTGTGGGTAACCGGGTCGATACCTTGTTTCATCAGCTTCTTCCTCACGTACGAGTTCCAGAAGTTCTTTACCTCATTATCGGTTCGTCCGGGCAATTGTGTGGCAATTTGAGCCCACCTGGATATAATGAAAGGGTCAAATATGAAAGTGGCAATTGTACATTGTCTTTTTCTTGTGCCGAAGAATTGTAACTCGTCAGCGTCGATACCTGTTTCCTAGAACTGCATGAAGAGTGATGATGAGATCCTCCTCTTGCTGTGAAAACATGCCTCTCTTCAGGTCAGGCCTTAAATAGTTGATCCACCTCAATCTGCAACTCTTTCCACATCTCTGCAAACCTGCAAAAGGATAAAACAGTTGCATTTTGAGAATTCAAGTGTTTCTGAAGAACACGGAAGATTACAAATGCCCAGGAGCTCGAATGCGGAGTCTCACCGGCCAGTTTCGGAACGGAGCTCCAGCAACCCACCCCGTGTCTAGTAATGTAATTGAACAGTTTCTCGTCTTCTTCAGGCGACCATAAACCTTTCCTCACTTTCTGATTACACGAGCTACGTCCCATTTGGAAAAAAATTGGAAACTTGAGGTGGCCTCCTCTAAGCAGTCATTCCCTAAATAAGAGTGCTTTGAGGAAAATGAGAAACGGGAAAATGTGGTGGTTAGTGGGTGGGAAGTGAAGTTTTCATGAGGATTTAAAGTGAACAGTCGCTAACCATACTTATACCTCAAGTTGGTGTTTGTGTGGGGAGAGAGAGAGAGAGAGAGAGAGCAAAGCAATTTGGTGAAGGCAATCAAGTGGTGTTTACGCAAATCTGATTCTTCTTTTGCATTGAGAGTGGATTAGTTTTGAAGACATCTCAGTTCCTCCAAGAGAGAGAGACGTGTGAGATAACTACGCAGGAGTGAGTACTTAGTACTTGAATATGAGTATGAATACAGACGTTGTCCCATGAATGCTGGAGGAGAACAACAGCGGTGGGGATTGGCTTGTGCCGCCAAGATTGATTCCTTATCATAAAGCAATGTGGGCTCCTTTAAAGCAAGTTTTGGTCCACTTACGATCACATGCTACTCGACAACTACCGCTCACAAGAGTTAACGTCTACCTTATCCTTCATCATAGCACTCGTTTCTGCAGTTCTGGTCCATGAAACATTGCAAAGATATCAATCACTATTCTCTAAGTAGCGGTAATCGGCATCATGAAGAGCCAAACTAACCCGTCATGCGTGACGACACGAGTCATGAACAGGTCAATTTCATTTGCTTCGCCTCTTGCAGGACATGGGAGTCGAAACCCACATCTGAAACTACACGTCCCCATCCCTAGCCATCCCGAGAATGTGGGGATTCTGATAGCGCATACCGCGTGTAGAAGCGAATCACCAATGTAATCATTTGGAACCTTATCTATTCTGCAAATTGCTCTTCACAAAAGCCTCATCTCACTGGGTCGCTCCTTTCTTTCCTTTTCTGATAGCTTTCAAAAAGTAGCATCACCTTTTAAATCTTTGCCTTGAGCACATGAACTTTGGCACCAATTTATTTAAAAGATAATCCCACAGAATAATTCCTGAATTTTGCCCAATGGCACATCAATATTTCAATTTTTTTTATCTCACCAATACCCCCAAATTTGCGGCGCTGACACAAAAATACATTCCGTTCGACTTCCATCCATAATGACCGTTTAAAGAAGAGTCGGCTCAACTGTAAACTAACCCTCGTTTGACGATTCAAGTCTAGCGGATTCGGCAAAACTTCCGAATGGTCTCGGGTAGTGGAGTAGGCAACAAATTGGAGCCGATCCACCGTAAATCGGCGAAGCATTTCTCTATCCCTAGTCTTTGTATTAACATGCATATTGCATGTCCGATAATTTGCCTAACTCGTATTTGTACATAAGTACCAATTTTTTGGTGCATATTCTATATGTTTGGGGAAATGACAGATGTCAAGCCTAGAGCAGCAGATTCATAATTTTCTGGCGAAGGAATTTACCAACCAGAGCAAACGTCTCAAGACGTTGCGACAATTCTTCCCGGGGAGCAAGATCAAGGACATCTTCCTCAAAAGAGAGATGCTCGGGTTGTTCGGCGAGTGTTTCGACTGAACAGCGAGACTCGGCCATTCTTGCAGGACGAACATATTGAGAAGAGGGGAATTCGATGATCAGATGAGTTAGAGCGCGAATGATAACTATTTTCATCCCCGGCCTTATTTCTGGCTAGAAATTGAAACATCCATTTTCTATTCCCTAGACGAGTTTTTGAGTGAAAAGTAGCACTCGATAACGAAACAAAATTACTATTCTCAGAATAAAAATTCGTTTGATAGTTATTCTTAAATTTCTGTTCCCAGCGGGCGGCCGATGAGCGGTGGTGGGCAGTGGCGGATGGCTGGCAAGCGGCGGCGAGTGGGAGGCAGCCGGCCGGCACGGTGGGAGGCGGAGATGGGTGGCGGCGGGGAGCGGCGAGAGCGAACGTAAGAGAGTTGTTATTTCTGTTTTTTATTTGTCTCGGAAATAAATAAAAAAATGTAATTGCGTTGCCAAACGGATTGATGTTCCAAATTTAATCTCAGGAACAGAAAAATTAGAAAATAGAGAAATAGAATGATTATCATTCGCGCTCTTATCGACCATCCAGGAGAGGAGAGGAGAGGAAGTGGGAAAAGCTTGGAAGACTCCAAAGCCAATGAAGGTACAGAGAGGAAGGCACTGTTCCATGAGCTGTTGAATCAGTTCTCGAATAAGCTCATCAAAGGTAAGTAAATGGTCTCCATCATTGATGGTCCTAACTATGGCTTTTGTCCCTTGATTATTGGGTACAGGAAGTTATGCATGAACAGGAAATAGGAGTATCTACCAATCTCGCTTATACAATCGCTATCGAATAGTCGTAATGTGTGCTTTGTTGTAATCGAATTCTTTGCATAACTTTTTTATAATGTAAGAGGATGAAATTCATTTCTCCCTTTAAAATCATTTCCTAAAAGTCTTTAGAAGATGTGGCTGACTTCTCTGTTTTTGGGGTCGATACTATAAAAAACCAGCAACTTAATCTTTGTGTCATAAAAACTCCCGAACCAATACATTCGCATCACATTTACCTCAAACCGGTATGCCCGTGCTATATTTACCCTAAACTAATTTGTAGATCACAACAAATTCCCAAACTGGTATAACAATGCCATACTTGTGCACTCGTGCTGCATTTACCTCCAAAATAATCTCAGATTTACCATAATTTGAAGTAACCGTGACATGGGTATATTAGATTAAGATAAATGTGGCACGAATATACCAACTTGAGAGTCTTTATGACATAAAAATTAGTTTGGAACGTAAGTGTATTAACGTTCTATTTTCTCATGGATTTCATTTATATAAAAAAAAAATAGATAGTGCCAAGAAAAAGACACGAGTCTGTTTTGACTCCACGACCACGAGTCACAAGCGGGTGCCCTCCTCGGAATATGACGGGAGTAATGCCTCTAATTATGTGAGATTAGGGGGTCCAAAGTTGATGGATGGGACGTGTTTTCGAAATTTCAATTTCAACTGTTGATTGTTGATGCACACGTCATGATGTCTGGTGGCAGATGCCATGATCTTTTTACAAAGACGTGCCCTTTCGCAACCCAAAAAGAAAAAAAAAAGAAGAAGAGTAATTTGGCCACGTTTATCAGGAGCACGCAAAAATTAAGGAGAATTGATAATGCTAAGTCGTGCGTCTTTATCTTTTTTCGCTTTATATGGAGTTGGGCAAAACTAAAAATGGGGAAAGGAAAAAGAAAAAGAAGAGGAAAAGAATAGCAAAGTCAAATGATGAATTCCCAAAGTATGATAACGAGTGCATTGCCGTCGTCTAGCGTAGCATATCGGGTTTCTTATGCATTTCAGTGCTTATGAGCTGTCGATCGAATAGATGATAGGTGTTGAAATTTAAATTGGGCATCGATCTTGAAATTTCCGCGCATCGAATTCATATTGTTCCGTGCCTAAAAATACGGAATAAATGGAATCCTATTATGCAAGAGACATGCATCCGTCGGAGACGATGCGCCGAGGACGACAATGGGTGTGGATTAAACTGGATTTAATCGTAACCGATGAAAATATATTTTATTTTTAGATGTTTCGGGAGAATCGCCTGTTTCATACCTAGCATACACATATGTAGTATAGTAAATGAATGTTTTTGAAACGCGCGTCGTCTTTTCGTGACAGAGAAAGTAGTCCATTATGATGAACGAACTCGGAATCCACGAAATATCTTGTTAACCCTATGAATTTAATAAGTTGTGAGCCGGAATCCGAGAAAGTGATCAACATACTCTCACGATCAACCCTTTTAATTTTGGGGTAAATTTGTTACGAGTGTACCAGTTTGAAGTTCTTCATGATATTAATCCTTTTAACTAATAATTAAGAAAATCAATGACTTTTAGAAAATGATTTTGAACTCCAAAATGATGCACTTGTGACAAATTTATCCACCGTTAGTTTCTGTTAAATTGGATTAATATCACGAAAATCCACAAACCGGTACACCTGTAACAAACGGAAAGTAAAATCCAAAATTGGTATATTTGTCAACTGCCACGTGCCATCTAACTCAGCAATTTGACGATAAAATTTAACGAGGGTAAATTTATTATAGGTATATCAATTTGAAGTTTTTTTTGTGATATTAATTCTAGTTAAAAATGAGTGATTACGACGGATTTAATTTGTTTCAATCCGTCTTAAAGTTGAATTGGATGGAGATGTGCTTCGAGATTCCTTGGTCCCCCACGAACTCATGTCCCGACACCAAATCAATCCTATCATCAGCTCTTTTTTCAAGTCAAAAGCGGCAATTAGAGTGCCTTGAGAAGAACATTCACAGCTAAAAAAGATGATAAAAGCAGGGTTTGCTGATTATCTCACGTCTCCAAATTGATGTTAACGCTATGATTTGACACCAACACAACACCGTATCGCCCTAATTCAAGATAGATGCCCCTCGTTGATTTTAGCGCCCCAAATTCTAACTTCGCTTTCTACGACATATGTATAAAAAGAAAATAACACGACACGGAATCATTCGTCAAATATGTATCACTCGTCTTAAAAGTTCAATGCAGCAATCGACCTGATTTTGACGGATTTGCATAGGAAACCCTCATCTTGATTTGAGATACACGGTCTTGTTTAATTTAGCCTTCAGATTCTTATTTTCGATTAGTATTGTATAGAAACGTGATGATACGGGGTGAACCCATGAATGAAGTTGTCGTAAGTTTATCCCGAGCATGTTCTCTTTACTTGGGAAAACTCGCACGTGGAATTAGGCTGCATCGATCGAAGAAGCCCGTAAAGAATCGTCCGCGACTAGCAATTGAATCATATTGTCACGTTTTTACGTGTAGAAGAACCGTGGCCAAGAAAAGCAACATTTTGAAACGAAATATCGTAATCACAGTGGATTGGGCTTGCGGTTGCAAATTGGTAAAAAGGCCCCGACGTCATGCTCGGGCCACGTATTTGGGGACATGTAGTATGCTGTGGTTTTAGTCTTTGGACTCGTTCTGTGGATGATGGGTTTGGTCTGTCCTCTTAAGAGTCTTTTCTTGCCCTAACTCGGCCCAACGACATGTCCTTCTTGATAGTAAGCGTGGTCGGAATCTACTGACTCCCACTAATCTCATAGAATGCACGCATATGACCTCGTGCGAGTAAGGGGGTGAGCTGAGCATCAATCTTGGTTCAATACGATAACCAAATTGGCCGGTTCGATCGGCCGGTTCTCAAGTGAATCGGGTAGGTTCGCCGGGCTAAAAACCCATTGAGCCAACAAAGGCCATTCGGTTCCAAGGTTAATGCTGCTCTAGACCACCAAGTAAAAGTAGTTTAC